AGGAATTTTGTGTGCCCTGCAGCCTGCCCCAGCTCCCCTCCTGGATCTGACAGGGCAGGCAGAGCGCAAGCGAACGGAAACACCATGCCATAATTAAACCAGGAGGTTTTTTTCTGTTTACTATGTTTACCAAAATTCCTGGCTAATTCCTGGCAGGCACGCTGCGTGCAAACGAGCCAAGAAATCTCGGGTCAGACCATGGTGAGTCCATACACAAAGAAATCCTGCCTGGGACTAGAAGCTGTGTGATCACAGGACGGATAAGTTGCACCTGGCAGAGATTTGGGCAAGGAACATGCAGGTTTAGCCCCTGCTGGTGAGCCAAGTGGTTACCAATATGAGGGCACACATCTGATTTTTGCTGCCTTCTTTACAAAAAAGTCCAGAAAATGCGCACGAAAAACCCTGCTTTTGTTAAATCATAGACTCATAGAATCATATGGGGTTGAAAGGGACCTCTGGAGACCATCTAGACCTCCGAAGAGCACCCGCCAAAGCAGGTCCACCCAGAGCAGGTTGCACAGGAACGTGTCCAGGTGGGTTTGGAATGTCTCCAGAGAAGGAGATTCCACCACCTCCCTGGGCAGCTTGTTCCAGGTCTCTGCCTCTCTCACAGGAAAGAAGTTCCTCCTCACGTTTAGGTGGAACGTCTTATACTCAAATGACTGATGTTAAAGGTCTGAAGTAGTCAGAAGTTACAAAACAGCAGGGTTCAAGTTGCTAGTCCATACCCCAGCTCCCTGTCACATAGGCTTTAACACGCAGCCTGCAATCACAGGGTTGTATTTTTTTCCCTCAAGACGTTGTTTCTTTCAGTGCTTGATGGATCTTGGGGGATGAGTCGATTCTGGGTAAAGGAAGAGGCAGGTTAATTTGCTGCAGAAGTTGGAAAACACCCCGAATGGCTGAGGCAGCAGTGATGAAAGGACCTCTGGTCTCTTGGAGCGGTGATGGGTAACGACTCTGCTCCAGCCAGAACTGGTAGATCATAGAATCATAGAATCACAGAATGGTCAGAGTTTGAAGAAGATCTTAAAGATCATGGAGTTCCAACCCTCCTGCCCTGGGCAGGGACACCTCCCACCAGACCAGGTTGCTCCAAGCCCCATCCAGCCTGGCCCTGAGCACCTCCAGGGATGGGGCATCCACAACTTCCCTGGGCAACCTGGATGCTGGGTAGATCACTTAAATCCAGATTTTTCCAGGTGGTTGCTAGCTAACTCAGTGTGCCCACTCTGAGCCACTGAAACTCTGGCAGGAACTTCAGCGACCACTTCTGCTGAGTGGTCCTAAACTGCAGCGTAAATAAATGGGAGCTGTACTTTGTGCTGCAGGACAGCATGAGCTCTGGAAAAAAAAATCACCCTTGGGTGTTTCAGTGAGACACCTAAACCTAATGGATGTTTTTTGACCTTAATCTTTGACTGATACCTTTCCTTCATACCATAGACCGTGAAAATAAAAATAACATTTACAAAACATTCGTATTCTATAGAGGTAACAGGCGTAAAACAGCCCTCAAGTAAATGAGTAACGCTACCTTCAGAGCAGGGTCTGTGCACGGTGAAGTAAGTGACGCCTCGGGCAAGGGGCTGAAGAAGGAATGTGAAACTAGAGGCTGAGTACCTGGCCAGGATCCCTGCGGTCCCCTGGTATGTAAAGGCCACGCTACAACTCCTGTGCAAAAGGCAGGTTAATTAAGGGCACAACGGCAAGTTTAGGGCGGGCATTCTGCCCGGGTATGAAATACCACTCTAGCAGGAGGAGTGGTGGATCAGCAAACGAGTCCATGGTTAATGCCCTCTGCTTGCTTCGTGTATTTCTAATGATAGCAGGAAGAAAATAGGGACTTGCTGCCCTTTTCCTGTTCCTCTTGCTCTACGCCGTAGCTGTTGCTTGGTTTGCAAAATAATATTAATTTGCTTTGATGGTTACACCTGAGGTCGCTGCTGCAAACTTCTGCCCGAGAAGACCCTAGGTTTCCCAGATGAGACAAGGGTGGGCAGCTTTCCCCCCATGGGTCTGTTTTAACTTATTTTTCCACAAATCCATGGCTGATTCCATCACGTCCATCCAAAGCCATTGCTGTGGAGGGTACCAGTGTCACTGCTGGATTTTGCTACCTGTCCTAGAGACGGAGGGGTCAAAGGATCCAGTTGGGTCAGCAACAAAACCTCTTGGACAGTTTTGGGGGGACAGGACCAGCATCTACTCTTTGCTGTCCGTCCTGACACCCAGGTGTAGGCACAGCCTGTGAACTCTGCATGGGGAACTTGTGACTTCAGAGGTGCCTGACCTGTACATATGGGGTTGGGTTCGCAATCCAGCCCTCTAGAATTAGAAGTGATCTTCCCAAAAGCTGGTTTTCATGCCAGTGTATGTGTTTGCAGGGATATTAGCTTTCCTCAAGGTGCTGCTGCTTCAGAAGCAAAGCCAAAATGATAGATTTTTTTTTTTTTTCTCAGCAGTCAGTTTAACTCGCTATTCAGAAGCACTAGGGCTCAAAGATTATCTTTTATAAATGAAATCTGAGATTTTCTCTTTATAATTCTTCATCTTCAATTCAGGGAATAATGACTTCAGGTTTAAGGAAGCCAGTTATGTAGGTAATGTAACAAAAATAAGTAACATGGCTATTCTGCAGTCCTGGTGCAGGGATTATTTCAGGTTTATCTTTATGCAGATTAATAAACTTTTGACTCTTGTAAGTCGGTATGCCAGGCACAAAGTGATTTGGGCTTGCGCGCGTTTATCTAAACTGATGCAGGAGACAAGCAGGCCTGACTTCCGAGAACAGAGGAAGGTGAGAAAATTAACTTTTTTATAGCTCTTCGTCACTCATGACACTCAAATTATAAAGGTGCCTTTTGCAAACCGTGCATTTTCGAAGTAAATGTATTCCCCATCTGAAAGGTTGCAGAATAGCTGTGTTTTGTGAAGGAAAAAGAAGCACATTCTTGATGTAATTCTTCTATTACATTGTATCTCCCCCACATCTTATTGTTACTAACCAATAGTAATGAAATAATAAGTTTATGAACTTTGTCTTTAGCGGTATAATAATTGGTAACCTGTGTTCAGTTGTTTGAAGGCAATGGGAAGGAATGGGTTTTATTAGATTAATTTCCAGAGAGAGTTTTGATTATTGGCTGACGTGTGTCTGTGCATTTTCTTAACAAGATGAAATATTTCTTAAACAAAACCTTGCTATTTTAAACTTGTCAGGAGAAATAATTGCCTTTGAAATGTGCAGTTATTGGCATTCTAGATGAAGACTAAAACCCTGGGAGAACTTTTCAAATAATAAGCGCAAACATCTAAAGTGACTTCAGGGTCGGCTTTCAAATAAATTATATGCAGGTGCATTTTGGGATCATTCAAACAGGTCAATTAAATTATTTGTCTTTTTTGTTTTTTGCCATTAGGCTAAATAATTTATTCATATCTCCAGTATCCAGTGGGTAACCTTGGCACCTGTGAAACTTTCTCATTCCTGAGTCCAAGCTGAGTATAAGTTTGTAAATCAGGCAGGTGGGCAGTACTTCAACTAAGTTTGACTTCAGCTGAAGATTCTCTCCTTTAGTTGGGCTAAAACACTGTCCTCCTATATCACATTTCCTGATAAGCTCATGACTGTTGCTCTGAATTCTCATGAGGTGTCTGAAGATCTAAAAGCAAATTGCCTGCTCCAGGAGTTCCAGCCAAACCAACCAAAGTGGATGGTGCATCCCATGTTCTGTCTCCTTTGCGCCGGCACTTGGCTTTGGTTAGCCAGCCCAGGGAATGGAACCAGCAGAGTGTGACTTGCTTTGTTAAAGAAAGAAAAAGGAAGAGAGTTGTTTTTTTTGCTGTTTGGCCTGGCTGACCCCAGGGTGGGACAAGCAGCATGGGGCTGGAAGGATGATGGTGGCAGCAGCTTTGGTGGGTTGAAGTTGCCAAGGAACCCTATCTCACCTGCACTCTATCACACGCACAGCTGATTCAGTGCTTCACGTGGTCCCAATTTCCTTTTTGAGTTAGAGTCAGCCGTGCCATCTTCTTCATGCCTTGTCTTGATCTCATCACCCCTCTGCTCCTCACCTGCTCCCAGACCTGCACACCTGGAGCAGGGCAGCTGGTTGCCAGCAAGTCCCTCCCATCCTTTTCCCCACCCCAATCCATGTCACCGCTTTTGGTTTCACTTATTTTGCATCCCCCCCTGCTGAGAGGTAAAGGTTAAACATTCAGCATAATGGTCAGAGTGAAAAATGCCTTCTAGAAAAGGGAATGGAGATAAAAAAGAGAAGCTAGGATTCTTTTAGGGCTTTGTACACGCCTTGGGGGGCTTACCCACCGGCTGAAAAACTGCTGGTCTGCGTTGCACATTTTATTTATAATTAATGTGTTAGGTAAAAGGGGTATTTTTTTGAATCAAGTGCCTTGCTTTTTCAGGAGCTTGGCATAAGTAGGTTGTGGGACTTCGGTCAGCCGTGCAGCAAGAGTTTACAAGGTGTTCTCTTTAAGAGCAAGACATAAGCAGAAGGAAGAAGGTGAAGATACGCGGCAATTTTTCTTAAAACCATTGCCAGTGCACCACCAAACTCTCTCCAACCAAGAGGACAAGTTTGGGGGAGATTAGTTTGATTTGGTAAAGATTCAGGGCAGAGGTAACAGGATTTTATAGATTATGCCCATCTTGTGCAGCGTGGGAGTTATGGGTGCAGAGCTTTTATTTTCTCGGTAGCTTTGCCACTTAGTAAACCCACCTGTCTAAAGTGAGTACAAATAAAGTGTTTTTTGGTGTAGGACCATTAGCTTATCGATATCGGATACCAGCTCCTGTAGTTTTAGATTCAAACCATGTTAAGTGGCCGTGGCTACAGGTGGTGGCAGAGGACCTGCAGGGGCAGTGTGGTGGGTAACCCTCCCCTTGCAGGGGGGTGTTAAAATCAGGGTGGGGGTTAATCGCATTCAGCATCCAACAGGCTGTGATAAACCTTGTCCCTTGTGTTTTCAGAGGCTGCACAGTGGAGTTCTCAGAGATCTCGAGCGTCAAAATCAGAAAAAGGAGAATATCCGCCTGCTGGAAGAGCAGATTGCTTTGACGAAGCAGCTTATGGAAGAAAGAGACAAGGCACTAATGGCAAAAGGGTCCCAGCAGCCCTAGGCACAGACCTGAGTGATTAGAGGTTTGATTAAAGACTTCTGGAAGGTCATTGGGATCTTAACTACTTGCAAGTGTTTCAGCTAACAGAGGTAATCTGTGAAAGACTGTTTCTTCTGTGCTGGTTATAACCCAGTCCCAAAAGTTCTAGGGTGGACACAAAACATTTCCTCTGTCCTCGGTACGTTGACTAGTGTGGATGGACTTGTCGGTGTGGGGACTTGTCGGTTTTGCTCCTTGTTATGCAAACAGCATCTAGGATGGCTAATAACGTCCACATGAGTGGGCTGCTGAGCCGCCACGATGACGAAGCTACCAGGACCTCCACCTCAGAGGGCTTGGAGGAGGGTGAGGTGGAAGGGGAGACCCTCCTGATTGTGGAGTCTGAGGACCAGGCTTCGGTGGATTTATCGCACGACCAGAGCGGGGACTCTTTGAACAGCGACGAAGGTGATGCCTCCTGGATGGAGGAGATGTCCTATTACTGCGAGAAGTGCCAGAAGTGGATTCCAGCAAGTAAGCCTGCCGGTTGCGTTGCGTTGTGTTGTGTGTGATTGTATTGCTGGGGTTGTTTCTGAGGTGCTTACGCTGTCCTGCTGTACCTGATTTACGGGGCAGCCCTTGTTTAGCTGTACCCCATCCTACCTTGGAGGAGAAGGGCTGTCTCAGCATGGCGTGGAGCCCAGAGGCCTGATGCCAGTCGTGGGCGCTGGGCACTTTGGTCCGTGGACTATCTGAAGCTGGCATTTCCTGTAAAGAAATGGGAACTGGCTTCTTTAATTACTAAAGAACAAAGGTATGACTTCAGAAACGTGCACGCCCTCCCGAGTCTCCCTGCTGGTGTGTTGAAGGGACTTTGCCCAGGCAACTTGGCCTCTCTGCTCACTCAGATAACGATAATGACCCTTGCTGTAAAACTCTTCCTCTGGGCTTTGGGGTAGTGTTACTTTTTATTTTATTTTATTTTTTTTTCTCCCCCAACAGTTTGTCATATCTGTGGAACACACGGCTAAATCTCAACCTTAAAGGTTTCCCACTAATGAGAATTTAATTTAGCTTTTACACAAGAGTGTCCAGCCTGTAGCAGCAAGCTGTGGGAGCAAGCTGCAGAACTTGATCCCTCTGCTGCTGCTGCTTGACATCAGATATATGCTGTTAGCCACGTAACAGACTGCTTTCTGAGTTCTGGGTTATTCTGTTTTCAGATCTAAAAGCTAGATATTGCTAAGCACTGGTTGGTTTTTGGCTTGGGGTGGGTTTTTTTTGTTTGTTTCTTTAGTTTTGTTTGTTTTTTCTGGGGGTTTTTGTTGGTTTTGATTGGTTTTGTTTGTCGGGAGGTTTTTTTTTTCCCTGTGGCTATAAACAGTGAACTCTTCAGGTGGCACCTGCCTTGCTGATATGTCAGAGCTGCCCTTTTTGCCATCTTAGAATTTGCCAAAAGTTAGAGTGTAGAAATTTCTTCACAAGGGATGTTAGTGAGTGTTTTGATACTAATTGTAATGGAGCCAGCATCACGCTATTGAGGTTAAAGGGACATCTTAACTTGAAATGTGTTAATAAAAAAATATGGAGTAGAGCTAAAGGTAGCATGAGATGAGATTCTCCTCTTGGAGCACTTGATTTAACACTCAATTTGTTTTATTTTACAAAGATGTTCCTCCCTCTCGTTGCTGTGGAACAAATCCAAAGAGCAGGAAAAGCCAATCACAGAGCAACAGTAACTAGATACAAATGTGCAAAGTAAACCAGCTGGAAAAGGGAAATGCTGTTCTCTTTGCTGATTGCTCAGTTATATGGGTATCAGTTGTTACTTGTGATAATCACCAACATGCTCAGATCATTTTTTACATTCAATTCCCGTGTAGAAACTCTGTTAATCTACTGAGGGTGGGGTTTTTTCCCCCCCATCAGACAGAGGTGCAACTTTAATAGTTAGATTCTGCAATTCACTATGGAAGCAGAGCATCCACACATTACAAATGCTTGATCTGGTGTCATTATAACAGTAAAAGAAATGGTATACTTTTAGAGAAAGACCTTTTTGTGTTTGACTTTTCAGAAATGCTGTAGCCTTAACTGTTTCCCTGTCCTGTGGGAAACAGTTTCTATTTTTTCATGTTTGTGTAAACCCCTGGTGAGTTTAGAAATCCTGATTCATATGATGTTTTGGTTTGGGTTTGTTTTTTTTTTTCTCTGCTGTAAAAACATAGAATTAGAGTCTGTAACTTTGGCTGCGTGGGGTTTTACAGGTGGCTCTATCCCAGCAGATCCCTTTTGTTCAAACTTTTACAAAGGGTTGGCTTCACACAGCAAAGGGTACGCTGAAGTTCTTTGCTGATTTGGCATCTAAGGCATCAACCCCAGTAAAGAAGAAGTGTTCCCAGATGATGCTGGGCTGTTCTTTTGGCTCTCAGCCTCAAGGAAAGAGGGTATTCCCCTGATAGGAGAAATAAATACCTAAAAGCTTCACACCCTGTCAGCGGCAGGGCATCCTAGAGGCTGCTGTGAACAGGGATTGGTCTTAATTTCTGGACAGGGAAAGAGGGAGCTGTAAAGACGTATAGCACTGTGTGGAAAGATGACGTGGAAGAGAAATCTTATATATTCTGGGAGCCTTTGCAATACCATACCTTTTTTTAACAGGTCAGCTTTTTTTTTTCTTTTCTTTTCCTTTCCTTTTTTTTTTTTTTTTTTAAGTAAAGTGGGAAAGCAGTTATTTATTGAAGTATATAGGCTATCCTGGGGAAGGAAGAAGGAATGAGAAATGCAGCGGAAACAGGGAAATCCTTGTTTTAGTACCTGCGTTCAGATGTTAAGTAGGACGCCCCTTTTTTTGTGCCTGTGCTTTTCACTTGGTCACTGGCAGCTGCAACTCTGAAATGAATCTGTGCTTCCCATCGCAGTGAGTTCTGACGTGTCCCAGGAACTGACCGGGTCTCTGAAAGGCAAAAAGTGCTTTTTTGCCTGATGTTGTAGGGAATCCAAATCGCCTTTACAGCAATTTTTTTTTTTCCTATAAAAGGACCAAAAATTTGATTTTTTTTTTTATTTTTTTTTTTTTCATACCTGTTCATTTTAGGTCAACTGAGAGAACAGCTCAGCTACCTCAAAGGAGATAACTTTTTCAGATTTACTTGCTCCGATTGCTCAGAAGATGGGAAGGAGCAATTCGAACGGCTGAGGTTAACGTGGCAACAAGTAAGTGAAACGTTTGTGCCGGCAGAACGACCACAGGACTTCCTAAAATTGTTGTTTGTTATGTGTGTGCGCGCTACCTAGAAATGGAGGATCAGGTATAAGTAACAAAGAAACATGATGCATCAACTTCAGAAATTAATTAGCTGAGGATTGCCTGCATATTAGAACTTGGGCATTTGGCAGGTGAATGGAAAGATAATCATGCAAACCACATTCCTTATTCCTCCTTTTTTTTCTTTTTCTTTCTTTTTCTTCTTCCCCCCTTATGTTGCCCATGAATTCATAGCTTCAGGCAGGTTTGGAAAAGCAAATTGAATGGAATTTGGCTGCTAGGTATGAGCAGGTTTTCGTGCATATGAGCAAATGTAAAGCTAGTGACGACGTACAAATGGAAAGCTTGCCAGCTCCCCCCAACGCAAAGCTCCAGCCTGGCTGCTTAACTCGCCAGCAATGGTCCTTGCTGGAATTTGCTGGTTTGGTCACTTGCACCCCTGAACAATCACGATAATTTGCATTATGCAGCAACCACCGTATGGGTAAACTGATGCACGTCATCTTGCTCCGAGTGGGGTGCTGGAGGGGTGGGCAGTGCTGGCTGTCTCTGCCTAATAAGAATTCCATCAAGCAGAGGGATGAAGCACCTCTGCTGTGAGGACAGGCTGAGAGAGCTGGGGTTGTTCAGCCTGGAGAAGACAAGGCTCCGGGGAGACCTTAGAGCAGCCTTCCAAGATCTGAAGGGAGCTACAGGAGAGCTGGGGAGGGACTCTTTGTCAGGGAGTGGAGTGATAGGACAAGGGGGAACGGTTTTAAATTGGAAGAGGGGAGATTTAGATTAGATACCAGAAAGACATTCTTTGCTGTGAGGGTGGTGAGACCCTGGAAGAGGTTGCCCAGAGAAGCTGTGGCTGCCCCATCCCTGGAGGGGTTCAAGGCCAGGCTGGATGGGGCTTGGAGCAACCTGGTCTGGTGGGAGGTGTCCCTGCCCAGGGCAGGGGGGTTGGAATTCGATCATCTTTAAGGTCCTTTCCAACCAGAACTATTCTATGATTCTATGGAAGTTGACAAAGTGAGGAGGCTTATCTCCTTAGGCTTCCAGAAGCCAGAGCTGCTGCTGCTTCAGGGAAGTTTAACCACTTCCCTCGATTCAACTTGCCCAGAAGTAGGAAAAATGGGGTTGGTGATTTCTGGATACTTTTTCAGAGCGTGTGGCCTCAATGCATCCTTATCTTTAGTCAGTTGAAAAGAGAACTGTCCCACCTGACTTCAAAAGCACAAAATCCTAGATAGTTATCGATCTTAGAGGGGTTGTGAAGCAGAAAGAGGGTACAGGGGACATTAAAGCTGTCTGTATTTCCTCATCTTGGCATCTTCAGCAATGCATTCCTGAAAGCCCACTGTGAGGAGACCCTAAAAATAAAAAAACATTTCAGACTTCTCTGACAGTGAAGAATAGGTCCCTGTTGGAAGCAGTATCCAGCTGGGGCTGTCATTGCTGAAAGATGATCCTGGCCCAGCTGTATGATTTTAGTTGCATTCAAATGAATTGGATAAACATAATTAACAGTCATTCAGCTAGGATTTACTTACAAAGAGGTGTGATATTTTCCAAACCTGCCCTTTAGTTTAGGCGTGTAATAGGTCCGACTGAATTCGGTGGTGAAGCACAAGAATGAGCTGTAAATGGATTGTCTTTAATAAAGATCACCTGGAGACAAACTTAATCTTTGTATGCTCAGAAAAAGTAGTAGTTTAGTAACTTTACAGAGAGTTTATAGTCTGTTCAGTTTGAAATGTGACATGAAATTTAGAAGGACCATTGTCACTAGATGGGTTAGATCGTGGGATTACTTGGGACCGTTTTTTTTAAGCGACTTTTTCCCTATCTCCACACTACATTGGGGCCCCAGTTGTGATATAATTCATTTACACAAGCATTGCAAAAGCTTGTATCTCGGCATAAACCTGCATAACTAGGCGGCTTGTTATTTCCTTGGGATGGAGAGCTCTCTGGGAGAATGTGCATCTAACAATAGAAAGACAAGAATGGGCAGCATGAAGGCAGGAAGAAGACGGATTGCAGAAGTTGCCTGTGAGATGTTGCAAAAATAAGCTATTTATGAGGGAGCGAAGATCGCTCTGTGTGTGTGTGGCAGCTGGTGGGGGGGAGGCAGTTCAGCAGATGAAACGGGAAAGACTCACTGGAATCCAACACTTTCTGTTCCAGGTTGTCATGCTGGCAATGTACAATCTGTCTCTGGAAGGAACAGGCCGTCAGGGGTACTTCAGATGGAAAGAAGATATTTGTGCTTTTATTGAGAAACACTGGAATTTCTTATTAGGGAACAGGTAAAGACGTGACATTTCCCTGAAGGTCTGGTTAGTGAGCAGCCAAAGGAATTAAAACTTGTTATGCAGGTGGATGAGAACCCTGGTTCATTTGGGGATGTCTCTGTTGGGCCTCACTAGCGAGGAAATTGGAGGATTTAATATTGAGAACCTGTATGTAGTCATGAGGGGGACTCTTGAGGAAAAAATAAGCATTTCTTACTGGGGAAAAACAACTGCAAGAATGTCACACAAAAGCAATGTAAATGCATATTTTTGGGGGGTTATTTCTTACCTTTCTGTAGGTGTCTATGAACGTGCAAAGCCTTTGGGTATTTCTGAATAAGCACAACAAAGGGACTGGTGCTGAGCAAAGTACCATGTTACTTGGCTATAAAGCTTGTGCGGACCCAGTTCTCCCCAAAGGAAAGTTGTGCCTAGTCTGTGAGGTTGGTTTGGGTCTTAATAAAATAGCTTTTACAGGCATTACAAACCACTGAAATGGTATTTTTCGGTGTGTGTAAGGAAAAAAGCTGTCAGAGTAAGAGCCCTTGTCGCGAAGGGTGAGCTGTGTGCCAGTTTCTTTGAGTGCACCGAAGCTGTCGAGCCCACGTCTCACTGTTAACGCGTGTGCTACGGAGGCAGGGAAGGAACCGAGCAAGCCTTGGAGCTTGTAGATTCTCTTGACTTCACAGCTTCTTTTCTTCCCCAGGGGTTTCTCCGTTGTGTTGTAAGATCTGGCCTTCCTCCCTGCCCAGATTTGCTTTTTGGCTTTGCTTTCATTGCTTGTCTGTGCCTCCTTGCTCTGCTCTCAGTGTTGTCAGCCGTTGGTCCGCTCTGGAAACCACAGGGACCCTGACAGGAAGGGAGCTGATGGCCCATTGTCCCTCTCTCAGGGAGCTGTCACCTCCCAGGGTTTGCTGCTGCCTTTTGAGAGCTGCCCTGGGAGCTGGGTGCTCCTTGCTCTGATTAAATTCACAGAATCTTCATGGTTGGAAGGGACCTTTGAGATCATCGAGTCCAACCACAAAAAAAAGGAAAAAAACCTCAAACACCCCCCCCCCCCCACCCCCCCCCACAAGCAGACCCAAACCAACAATCTTGGGCACTACAGCACACCCTGAAGTGCCACATCTACATGTTTCTTAAATACCTCCAGGGATGGTGACTCCACCACCTCCCTGGGCCCACTGTTCCAGTGCTTGACCACCCTCTCAGGAAAGTCATTCTTCCTAATATCTCATCTAAACCTCCCCTGCTCCAACTTCAGATCATTTCCTCTGGTCCTGTCATTATTCCCTTGAGAAAAGAGGCCAACCCTGACCTTTCTACACCCTCTTTTCAGGGAATTGTAGAGGGCAATGAGGTCTCCCCTCAGCCTCCTCTTCTCCAAATTAACCATGCCCAGTTCCCTCAGCCTCTCCTCGTATGACTTGTTCTCCAGACCCCTCACCAGCTTGGTGGCTCTCCTCTGGACACACTCCAGCACTTCAACGTCCTTCTTGTAGTGAGGGGCCCAGAACTGACCACAGCATTCAAGGTGAGGCCTCACCAGTGCCCAGTACAGAGGCACGATGACTTCCCTACTCAGATGAAGTGATTACTGGCCTCAGAGACTCAGTATTCTGCACCATGAACCTGGTTCTCCAGAACCTCAGTTATTGGGCTACAGGGGCAATTTTTTAATATTTCTTCTTGCTTCTTCCCTAAATGATATTTTAGTTAGCCCCGTGACCAGTTCTTAGAGGAACAAAAGGTGCTCAGATGCCCAGTTGAGTACATTGCCCTGCAGAGGGAAAGGCTTAAATGCAGCTCCCTGCCTCCTCTCCCAGGTAATTAGTGATAGAACAAGAGGGAATGGATTCAAGCTGCAACAGGGTAGGTTTAGACTGGACATTAAGAAAAAATTCTACACCAAAAGAGTGGTCAGACACGGGAACAGGCTGCCCAGGGAGGTGGTTGAGTCGTCATCCTTGAATGGATTCAAGCTGCAACAGGGTAGGTTTAGACTGGACATTAAGAAAAAATTCTACACCAAAAGAGTGGTCAGACACAAGAACAGGCTGCCCAGGGAGGTGGTTGAGTCGTCATCCTTGGGTGTGTTTAAGAATCGTTTAGATGTGGTGTTGGGGAATATGGTGTAGGGAAGAGCTTTCTAGAGTAGGGTAGATGGTTGGACTCAATGATCCCAATGGTCTTTTCTAACCTGAATGATTCTATGAAAAGGTCCTGTGGCATAGGGAAGAGGATCCCAACGAGTCAACGTAGCAGCCAGCCACACTCACTGACTCTTCCCTATGCCACAGGAGAAATTTTATGGCAGAAATCTCCAAGCAGAGAAGAGAGGGCTTCGGTATGTATCCCTTGGATGTGTCTGTGAGCCAAGCATCCATGCTCTGTTACCTCGCTGCTTCCTGCAGCTTGGTTGCCCTCTGTGGTTTTATTTCCCAGACCCCTAACTCTGCTTTTCTGCAGCTGAGGAGGGCAGAGTGGTCAGATCCTAAAGTTCCTGTGTGAATTCAGCCTCCGGGGGTCCTGTCCTCCAGCTCTGGGAGCTAAATGATATCTCCAAAGTAGTCAAGGCAGGCTTTTAAATTCAGTTTGTCTTCCTGCTGTGTGAAGCGATGCCTTTGTCACTACCTTTCCCTTGCCTCTCCCACCCTGTGCGCCCTGTTTGCCCCCTTCACTAAGGGAATATGTCTCTGCAACATCAGGTCAGCACAGGTATCGCTAGGATCCTGTTCCTGGCCTTGCATCATCAAATTGTTAACAAAAGTAGCTCCATCAGCATCTAAAAGCTGCAACATCAGGTCAGCACAGGTATCGCTAGGATCCTGTTCCTGGCCTTGCATCATCAAATTGTTAACAAAAGTAGCTCCATTGGCGTCTAAAAGCTGGGGGGTTCCAGTGGCAGGGTAGACCTGTCCTCCCTAGGCTCAGCTCATGGACAGAAGAAAAATTGCATCTTGCTGCTGCGCTTTCATTTCCACATCATTTATGGAGCGTAAGTATTTACGCATCGGAGTCCACCAGCACGTTGTAGCTGTGGTTCTCTATTTTAAAAGAAATTAATTAGCCTTAGCCTCCCTGAGGATGGGGGTGTAGGGAGTATGTCAACCCCCTGTATCTGTGCCCGTGGCAGAAGCACCTCGGCCCTTTCCATCCCAGAGGAGGCTTCAGGTTGGAAGCAGAGCTGGCGAGTGGGGACCTTAACGCTTGGTTTCCCCTCTCCATCTGTAGGAAAAAGACTTCAACATGGTGGAGCACGGTCGCTGGCTGTCTCTCTGTGGGGAGCCCCTTGTTTTTCCGCTCAGGGGCACAGGAATTTGGAGAACCGGGGTGGTGGAAACTGGTTCATAATAAACCCCCAACCATGAAACCCGAAGGAGAGAAGTTGTCCGCGTCTGCGCTAAAGGCAAAAGGTAACTCTTTCCCTGCTGGCGTGTAGGTTCCTAGCTAGGGCCAGAGCTGGAAGACATGAGAAAAGTTTACTTAAAACAAGGTGTTTGTGTGTATGGACAGTCGGAGGCATGACTTTTTTTTCTTAGTTAAGCTCTACTGTAATTATTGATTTAAGAGCACTCTCTTGAATGTGCTGTAGCATGAGAAGCTAGTTACATTTTATTGCCTTTTTGCATCCTGCTAACTGATTTAGAGGCTTTTGAGATTTGTTCAGGCTTTTCTGTAGCTGAAATCTACGATTTCTCTGCTCCTCTGTACCCCAGGGAGGGTTTTGGGGTTTTTTCCAAGTTTTGTCCACACTAGATGCAAATTCTATTCTGCGCAGAGGAGAAAAATTTGGGCTTAAATGCAGCTTTAATGGTGCATTGGCTACGTGTCCTGGAGTGAATTTCTTGTATATTTTGAAGATGCATCTTCTAAGATTTGTGGTGACTGTGGGGTTTTGACTGTATGGTGTGTATCCAGTGACTGCAGGAGCTCCGTGTCCATTAGAATAAGCAAACTACTTCTTTAGCAGCTTCGAAGCCACCTCTGGATCCCATCATTACTGTGGAAGGACTCAGGAAGCGGGTAAGCCGCAATCCGGTCGAATCGGCCATGGAGCTGAAGGAGAAGAGATCTCGCACGCAGGAAGCCAAGGAAATTCGGAGAGCCCAGAAGGAGGCAGCCGGCTTCCTGGACCGGAGTACTTCCTCCACTCCCGTTAAATTCACCAGTCGAGGCCGTCGTCCTGATATTGTCCTGGAGAAAGGAGAGGTGATTGACTTCTCCTCCTTGAGCTCTTCAGATCGCACTCCTCTGACAAGCCCTTCTCCTTCCCCATCTCTGGACTTCTCTGCTCCTGGCACTCCAGCCTCACACTCAGCTACTCCCAGCCTTCTCTCGGAAGCAGATCTTATCCCGGATGTCATGCCACCACAGGCTCTGTTTCATGGTAAGAAACGCTGTGTTTTTTTCTTTAATAATAACCCATACATAGTTGTAAAGGAAGATGCTTAAAAAGAAACTTGCAACGAGCTGCAGGATCTTTTCAATATAAGATGGAACATAATTAGTAAACTCCTGTTTGTCTTAGCTGTGTGTAAATCTTGATTAGTTTTCCATAGTGGCCAGAAGGAACCACCGCTATGGTCGTCTGAATAAACGATAGGTAGATTTCATGTAGCAATTGCTGCACCACTCAGCATAAGCCCCACAGATGACACTGTTAGATAGCAACTCTTAATTTTGCCTCAGCTGTCTCTTAAATGGGAGAAAATTAATTCTCATGGTAGTGTTGCAGTAGTTCTAGAAGTTCAAACATCCCATTTAATGTTAATGCTACATTTCAGTCAGGTTGGGAAGCAGTGATGCAGGCTGAATGCTTCTAGGAGCCAGACCTCAGTCAAATTGGAGAAGCCAAGAATAAAGCACTTCTTGTTGCAAGGGGGAATAGTCAAGTTCTGCAGAGGGAATAAATCCTGTGCTTCAATGACTCCTGGCTGTTCCCTCAGTTTAATAGAACCCTTCCAGGGTGTGCTAGCTGAAGATACAGCTCACCAGCTTGACCATTTGATCCCCAGTTCCTCAGGAATTTTCAAAAATGTAATGCTTGTCAAAGAGGATGAGCTTGCAGTTCAGGAATGCCATGTTTTCAGGTGCCAAAATGCAAGACACCTTAGGAGCAGGATTGATTCCATGTCCTGAAATTGGACTCTTTGGTCTCCTATCCAAAATCAGGAGGTCCAGAAGTATATAGAAAATAGAACATGTTGGGTAAACCTACATTATTTCTCCTTAGCAGAAAAGTCCCGTGGCAACTCCTTTTGAAATGGGGCTTTGATGTTTACGTTTTTGTGTTGTTTTTTTTTTCCCCTGGATTATTTTGATCTCTTGAACAGATGATGAGGAGATGGAAGGAGATGGAGTCATAGACCCAGGAATAGAGTACGTGCCCCCTCCCAGCGGGACAGCTGGTGCTGGCACTGTGATAGCCAGTAGAAAAAAAGTGAAGACAGCTGAGCAGATCAAGCAAGAGGTAGAGAGTGAAGAAGAAAAGACGGAGAGGATGGAAGGTGACAGTGAAGATCCTGAGGAGTCGAATGCATCACTGCAGGTGAGGGGGCGAGACAAGAGGAAGCCACAGCTGGAGAAGGATGCTAAACCCAGAGCTCCCAAGCATACTTCTGTTAGCATCTATGAGGAGAAGCTGCTGCTGAAGAGACTGGAAGCCTGTCCCAATGCCATGAGCATGACCCCAGAGGCCCGGAGGCTGAGGCGCAAGCTGATAGTCAGGCAGGCCAAGAGGGAAAGAGGACTACCGCTCTTTGACTTGGACCAAGTTGTGAACGCTGCACTGCTCTTGGTCGATGGCATTTATGGAGCCAAAGAAGGAGGTGTTTCGAGGTCCCCAGTAGGGCAAGCAACATACAGAACTACTAGCCAGGACTTCAGGATCTTGGACAGGTACCAGGTGAGTGTTTCCAAATCTAAGCAAGCTTTTGGCCCTGGTTATTTAAGAGCTTTTGCTGCAGACATCGGTGTCACAGAATCCCATGGGGTTGGAAGGGACCTCTGGAGATCATCTAGTCCAGCCCCCCTGCCAGAGCAGGTCCACCCAGAGCAGGCTGCACAGGAACGTGTCCAGGTGGGGTTGGAATGTCTCCAGAGAAGGAGACTCCACCACCTCCCTGGGCAGCCTCTGCCAGGGCTCTGCCACCCTCAAAGGAAAGAAGTTCCTCCTCATGTTTAGGTGGAACTTCTATTCCAGTTGGGGCCCATTTGCTCTTGTCCTGTCCCTGGGCACCACTGAAAAAAGACTGGCCCCATCCTCTTGACACCCTCTTTTTAAGGATTGATAGGCATTGATTAGATCCCCCCTCAGCCTTCTCTTCTCTAGACTAAAAAGCCCCAAATCCCTCAGCCTTTTCTCATAAGAGAGGTTCACCTTGAGGTTATCTGACTCCCAAAGTGAAAAGGATTACATGAAGACTTATTCTGACCTGGGGTTCTGTCCCCACCACTGCTCTCACAAGCCCCTTTCTCCTTAGGACATGCTCATCCAGCACAGCTGTCCATCAGTGTCACCACCCCCAAAGGTGGGTGTACAAAGGTATTTGTACTCCAACCCTGCCCCAACACTAGTGGTGGAGGCCTGGAGGTACCCAAACAGGCGGCTGCTCTTTCATGCTGTGTAGGAGGGAGATGACTGGCGGTGCTTTTTGATGTGTGTGGTTCACAGGTTTGGGTGGTAAATCCAAGAGTTGGATCTCTGTAGGGTGGAACCATTACACTGTGGGTCCGGTCCGTCCTGTCAAATTGAAAGGCGCTTCTTCTCCCTCCAATGTTATGATTCCCCTGTGTTAAGTCATTGATTAATCTTCCTGAAACATTCTGCTTTTTTTTTTTTTTTGTACATTTAGACAATGCTGCCTGCCATGAAGGGATACCGACAGCAGACAACAAAGTTTCTGTATCGACTGGTAGGCTCAGAAGACCTGCTGACGGACCACAGTATCGTCAGTCCTTACACGTCCCGCGTCCTGAAACCTTATATCAGGTATGGGTGGTCAGAGGATGAATTTGCTCGTGGCTTGTGAAGCGACAGGCCGTGGAGAGGACACCTTTCTTGGGCAGTGCTCCTCACTCATCCCTGGAGCACAACCCAGTCTACTATGGTAACCCTGAATTATAGAATCGTAGAATGGTTAGAGTTGGAAGGGACCTTCGAGAGCATTGAGGTCCAACACCCCTGGCTGGACACCTCCCACCAGACCAGGTTGCTCCAAGCCCCATCCAACCTGGCCTTGAACCCCTCCAGGGATGGGGCATCCACAGCTTCTCTGGGCAACCTGTTCCACTGTCTCACCACCCTCACGGGGAAGAATTTCTTCCTAATATCTCATCTAAATCTCCCCACTTTCATTTTAAAACCGTTACCCCTTGTCCTGTCACTGCACGCCCTGACAAAGAGTCCCTCCCCACCCCTCCTGGAGCTCCCTTCAGATATTGAAAGGCAGCTATAAGGGCTTCCCGGAGCCTTGTCTTCTCCAGGCTGAACAACCCCAGCTCTCTCAGCCTGTCTTCACAGCAGAGGTGCTCCATCCCTCTGATCATCTTCAAGGCCCTCTACTGGACCCGTTCACACAAAAGGATAGTGTTTAAATTATATAGCTGAGTGGTTAAACTGGCTCTGCACTAGGAGGGGAATCTCCAAGAGAGGGCAAGTCTCCAGGAGGGGAATCTCCAAGAGGGAATCACCATAGTCATTGAGGGCAAGTTCCATCTGCTCTTGGGTCAGAACCCTGATTTCCTCCTTGCTCCTGCTGTAAGGAGAGGTTGGCTTGGCGTGCTGCCGAGCTGGGAAATGTCCTGGCCTCCACACAGGGTGTTTTTGCTGAGCTGGGTGCTGTTTTCCCACATGAATGGAAGAACTCTGTTCTTTTGTTCCAAGTTGAGCATGTCAGAAAGTATTTTATGGGCAGTACCCATTCAGTGGCAGTTATTGTTACTCACTTGCCTTTTGTGTTTGCTTTTCATCTTCCTGGCAGGCGCGATTATGAGACAAAGCCCCCAAAACTCAGGCTGCTGGCAGAAATCCGGGCGTATCCACGCAGGAACGATCTCAACTGGAAGGCTGAGCCAGAAGCACCCATCGATTACTGCTACGTTCGCCCTAATCACATCCCCACTATAAACTCCATGTGCCACGAATTCTTCTGGCCTGGTAAGATTCCTTCGGCACTTTGGGTTTTCTAAGAAGGAAGTGGTTTTGTTCAGAAGAAAAATGTTCTCGGGCCAAACTTTTCTTCAGTTGGTGCCTGGCTGGGTTCTTAGAAGACTATTATCTGATGTCATAGGAATGTAGTCGAGATGGAGACACAGGTTTGGTGTCTTTGTCTTTCGAGATCATTTAGAGCTGGGCAATTAGGCCCTAATTAACACAGTACTTAAAAGAAGTAGGTTGTTTTGAGTGACACCGTTGATGCCAACAGGAGTAGTCCGTTACTAAAATTAAGCATCCAATGAAACGTTTTACAGAAGTACAGTTTTATACCAGAGATCTTCTGCTCTCTAGCTTCATAAGAAAGTTTCTTCCTAGCAGCTGGATGTGTTGGAGTGAAATGGGGAATTGCACTCACAACTGCAGGATTCACTGTGATGCCCTTTATTTCTTCAAGCCTCAGTATTTGCGAGGTATGGGAAAGCTTGGCTGTGGATTTTTATGTGGCACTTCTTGAACTGTGGTCTATTTGGGGCAGTGGCTGCCTTTTACTTGGGCAGCTCCGATGCTGTAGTCTCTAGTTCTTCTGAAATAATAATGGTGATGTTTCATCTACTGCCTGGATGAGTTTCACCATGGCAGACTAATTTAGAAAAGCCCGGTACAAACAGCACACACCTTTATTCCAAGTAACTGTTTGCTTTACAGTTTGATTTGCAGATAGTGATTCAGCAAGGTTTGTAGTTCAGCGGTGCTCGTACGCTGCACTCAGGGTGGGAGCTCTCTCTGCTACTCACTGTCCAAATTGTACAATTTGGGGGAGATAAGGTGGCATACCTTCCCTTTCGCAAGCTGTTTTGGACCTCGTGAGAGACACTTGCAATCCTGACAGAGGCTGATCCCCTTTGTCGTAGTCTCTCCTCTTCTGATAACGCATTTGAAGTTCTGGCCAAGTTGGGTCGTGCCTTCATTAAGTTCTTCAGGACTCACCCTGTTTTATTTAACATAAGGAGCGTGGGTGTGTTCCACCCAACTGTGAACTGTTCATCGTTAAATCAGAAAGCTGACACTCCCATCGGTCTCCAAACAGGAACCAAAATCTCTTCCCTGGTGTAAATTTTCTGAGGCTGGGATTATACGATTAGTGCACCTTGGTTCTGTTTTAGCAGGGGAGGTAGGCGCCGACACTTCAGGAGAACAAACCACACCGTTACTGTGGACGCGAGGGGCTTTGTTTCACGAGGGGCTGGTGCAGTGCTGGGGGTGGTGGGATATGCAGCTGGGAAGGGTGTTGTTAGAGGTGGTGTTTGGAGAAACACCTGTAATTCCACCAAAGTTTAGGTGTCTGAACGAAGCATGTGTGCTTGGGGGATGCTGTCATGGGGAAATCACATCTCAGGTGTGCTCAGTTGCCTTCTGACAGCCATGCTCTCATTGACGTGAGTTCTTCAAGTCTTCTCTTCAACCCTTAGTTATTCCACCTCTCCCCATCCGTCCCTTCCCAGCAGAGCTCCTCTTGTTCCTTGCGAAGTAGAAACAAGTTTGTAGGTAGTTTACCGCAAACGGGCTGAGATGTGAAGCAAGATTTTTTTTTTTCCCCCCTCTTTGTTGTCTCTCACGGTATCTTGTGCCTTCATGTCCTAACGGGGGAACCTCTCCCCAGCAGGCGAGTGGTAAACCAGGCTTGAGCTAAGCCTCTTCCTACAGGAATAGCTGCGTGCGGAGGGAGGGGGACGGCACCCCTTCTGCCGACGCCAGCGCGCTCAGGGCGATGCAGCAGTTCCTGTACGGACACGCTGTCAGGCACTTCGCAGTCATTTGGAGATAATTAACACGGCTCCCTATTGCCAATCAATTCCTCCCACGTCCTGCTCCACCCAGCTCGCTCTCCAGCAAGAAAACATAATTCAACCCGCTCATTGCGCCTGGCGCCCCACGAAGTCTCACATCTCGTCGAGAGGGAGAAGCATTACTGGAAATCACACTTGGCTGTTCTGTTATCCCACAAATATATCCGCCATGGCCAATTTGAGGCTGAAACTTAACGTTTACGGCGCAGTTCCGCTACGTCTTGAGCCTGGCCATTTAGGGCCTGGCCCCACAAATTACTGAGCTTGGCCCTTAATGTGCTGCATGCATGCTCTGGGGCTGCAGAAGCGTGGATGTGATTAGGCAAAGGTAATGAACTCGGCTCAGAAGTCACCAGCTCCAGGTGTTTCTGTCCAGGCTCTGACTCACAGGAGCACCACCGCCCCAGAGGCTGCTTCACACCCCAGATTAGAGAATTCATGTGCTAAAAGCAAGCGTTTTGATGGTTTGACTACGAGCAACAGAAGATGTGCTAAAAGCAAGCGTTTTGATGGTTTGAGTACGAGCAACAGAAGAAGCAGCAACAGAAGCAGCAGCAGGAGCTCAAGGCCAGGTGGAGAACAGAGATAGGAACCTCAGACAGGTCACGCTACCAAAGCTGAAGCCTGGCTTCATGTCCACTGTGTCTGGAGAGGGTTTGCAGGAAGAACAGGATAGTTCACGCGCTCTATCTTGGCTGATACACTCTAAATCTCCCCTCTTTGCTCGTCTGCAGGCAGGACGTTTGCTGGCTGGGCTAGGAATGGTGTACACATTCCTGGGTGGAATGAAGAAGCAAATCCTTATCCATTCATGTTACAGTAGCCCTTAGGAGCCCTAGGCAAGGGGCACAAACTTCCTAGGACCCCGCCCAAGAAACATTTGCACATGCAAGTGTCTTTATTCACATGCATATTTAGAACTGGCTCCTCAGCAGAGTCTGCTGATAGAGCTGAGAATACAGACCTAGAATACAGATTAGCTAGGTGCTGAGGTTGTGTGATTTTTAAAAACTTATTGATTTTTTTTTTAAACTATTCTGGTTTAGAGAACCCGCCTTTTGAGTTTTAGTTTCATCCTTGGGTCATTTGGGAGGAAATCAGCTCTGTTAATTTCTCCACGCACGAATACCCAACAGTGAGTCAGTCTTGTTTCGGGTGGTTGGTTGAAGTAGATTTGGTTCGATCTCAGAGCAAGGGATCAAGTGAGTATTTCTAAAAGGACTTAAAACTCCAAATTTCCACACAAGCATGACATGGTGTGGTCTGCTTTTTCTCTTCATTTGCAATGCTTTCAGCTGCTGGTTTCTTTCTCCGTAGGAATTGATCTGTCGGAATGCCTGCAGTATCCAGACTTCAGCGTTGTCGTGCTTTACAAGAAAGTTATCATTGCCTTTGGCTTTATGGTGCCAGATGTGAAATACAACGAGGCTTACATCTCCTTTCTGTTAGTTCACCCCGAGTGGAGAAGAGCTGGGATTGCAACCTTCATGATTTACCATCTGATCCAGGTAATGAGGAGGTCCCATCTCTCCTGAAGAACACCCTCTCCTTTGCTCCTTGCCCTTTCTGTGCCTACACACCTGCACAGGCTGTCAGCAGCCTCTGCAAACGTTCATGGGGGGGAAAATCACTTCAAAAGCAGAAACTAAAAGGTATTTAGAAGAATAAACAAATGTACTGGTCGAGCCAAGATGCGGTAGAATTGGACTGCTTTGGGATGAACTTTTTCGTTCTTCAGTGGACAATAGTTCACATAACAATAATCCTGTAAATTTGGGGTTTAAAGAAGGATGTGAGGTAATAGCAGGGAAGTTCAGTAAGAATCTATTGCAGCTTTCTTGGCTACACCTGGAGCTTTATTCTGTGACCAGGGCCGTTGCATTAAATCACTTACTGATCTTAATCATTCTCTTCCACTTCTCATATGCTGGTTCAAATCCAGCTGAGCTGAAGATAAAGAATAAGCGTTTGCAACCTCATTCAAATTTGTTCAAACTAGCTTGTGCTGGGCTTTGTTCCACAGGGACACTTGGGAAAATTAATCTGAGCTAACTAAAGGGGTGGTATTAAAGTAGTTAAACGTCATTAAATCTCTGAATGAATACTGTTATTCAGGTGGCCTTAATTCCATTCACTTTCTTGAATTAAATTGCAGGAAAGGCAGCTTAAATTTGAGTGAGGATGCAGACAGATGGCATTTTCAGAGCCCAACTGTGCCTCAGCAGGGCCCACAGTTCTACCACTCCCTGAGCTCTCTTGGCAGAGCTGGTGACGCCAAACGTTCCTTAACTTGTTTTAGTCAAGATGTGCTGCACTGGCGAAAACTCGCCGTTTGAAACTGCTCTTCCTCATACTCATTTTGGCTGGAGAGAGGCGGGGAGTGCTGGCAGAGCCTCGGGAGCCCTGATCTGTACCTTGGGAAAGCACTTTCCACTGAGGGTATAGCTCTTCTGGGCCACCCCAGGGTAACTCTTCTAACTACCTACACCGTGTCCACCGCTCTCTGCTCTACGTGTTGGCACAGGCCACCAATCAGCCTACTTTAAATTCACCCCTTACGTTTCCCGAGCATCTCTTGTGTAAAGTTGTAAAGCATTTTAAGTTAATTGCCCTCAACTGCAGCCTGCTGATGTGAGATGTCAACACCTAGAGTGAACAGGCACGGGCAACGCGCCGAGGTTTGTGGGGATCCAGCAGCCGGACTCGCATCTCTCCAGCAGAGCCAGGATCTGTTGGCAAGTCACCCGTGGAAAATCAGCACGATCCAGCAGCCGGACTCGCATCTCTCCAGCAGAGCCAGGATCTGTTGGCAAGTCACACAGCTTCTTGTAGGATGCCTCGCAGCCAATTAACCTCATTCTGCTTGCAGGTAGACTAGCCTATCGTGTTGGGGAGAGCCAGGAAGTTTTTGAGGCTCATTAGACTTACTATCCATGAGAGATTGAGAGGTCACCACTGTATCATAGAATCCTAGAATGGTTTGGGTTGGAAGGGACCTTAAAGATCATCCAATTCCAACCCCCCTGCCCTGGGCAGGGACGCCTCCCACCAGACCAGGTTGCTCCAAGCCCCATCCAGCCTGGCCTTGAACTCTTCCAGGGATGGGGCAGCCACAGCTTCTCTGGGCAACCTCTTCCAGTGCCTCACCGCCCTCACAGCAAAGAATTTCTTTCTGGCCTCTCATCCAAATCTCCCCTCTTTCAGGTTAAAACTGCTCCCCCTGGGTCCTATCGCTCCACTTCCTGACAAAGAGTCCCTCCCCAGCTCTCCTGGAGCTCCCTTCAGATATTGGAAGGCTGCTCAGAGGTCTCCCCCGAGCCTTCTCTTCTCCAGGCTGAACAACCTCAGCTCTTTCAGCCTGTCCACACAGGAGAGGGACTCTATCCCTCTGTAAGTTCAGCTCACGTTAGATTTATTTTTCCATTGCTGACTGTTTGCCAGTGGTAGAAGGGATTTAATCAGGCAGGAGAGGCAATGGTGGTTGCGAGCTCCTGTTCCTCAATCGCCAGACCATATGTGCTGCTCCCGCAGCCTGGTTGGGCTGACACCAGGGTCTGCTCCCTGCAGTTACAGCCCTTTTCACTCACCGCTTGGATTAAGGGTAATTCTCTGTCTCTTGGGTCAGTGTGGTGAGTTTGGGGATGGATTCTTGGCAACGGCACAATCTAACAGAAAACCTGGTGATGCACGTGGTGCCTTGACGATGGGTTTGTTGTCAGAAGCTGTCAGGAGGACCAAACTGCATAGAATCATAGAACCATTCAGGTTGGAAAAGACCCTTAGGATCATCGAGTCCAACCATCTACCCTACTCTACAAAGTTCTCCCCTACACCATATCCCCCAACACCACATCTAAATGACTCTTAAACACATCCAAGGATGGTGACTCAACCACCTCCCTGGGCAGCCTGTGCCAGTGTCTGACCACTCTTTTGGTGAAGAATTATTTCCTAATGTCCAGTCTAAATCTACCCTGTTGCAGCTTGAATCCATTCCCTCTTGTTCTATCACTAATTACCTGGGAGAAGAGACCAGCACCAACCTCTCTACAATGTCCTTTCAAGTAGTTGCAGAGAGTGATGAGGTCTCCCCTCAGCCTCCTCTTCCTCATACTAAACAGTCCCAGCTCCTTCAATTGTTCTTCATAAGATTTATTCTCCAGGCCCTTCACCAGCTTCGTTGCTCTGCACCCGCTCCAGCACCTGAAGATCTCTCTTGGATTGAGGTGCCCAAAACTGGACACGATGCTCCAGGTGTGGCCTCACCAGTGCTGAGTACAGGGGGACAATCACCTCCCTACATCTTCTTAATATCTCATTCCAACTGCCTTTTCCCAAAAATGAATCCTGATTATTTTACTCGTTCGGTTCTTTTTTTCTTAAATCGCTGAGAGAGCCTTCCCTTTGAATGATCTGCCCTGGAAATTGGTGTTACCGTTCCCCTCTAGAGTTAAAACACAGAATGCTATTGGCACACTAGACAAAAGCAGGGAAAAAAAAATCACTTTATTGGCATTTTTATCGGAGAGCCGCTGGTTAGAATAACCTGGGAGCTTTAAGGTAACTTCAGCCGTGCTGTCTGAATTCCCTGCCTTCTCAGGAGGCGAGGGCCATGCCCTGGAGGATGGGAGAGGAGCTGGGTGGGATAGAGAGGAATTCCAGCGTGACGGTCCCAGCGAGCTCGGCTCTGTTTGCTGACGGGGAGGAGCGCGGCGCCCCATCCTCTGGCGTGTTTTGCCTTTTCTTCAGGCCATTGCTAATAAGTATTTGAGACCGGGATTATTTTTAATGAACAATTACTTAGCCCGTTGACAAGGGAAAGCTGACAAATGATAATCCCGAACCTGCTTTTGTTGTTGGAGAGCCCACGTTTCCCAGAAACAGAGGCTCTGAGAGCGAGAGCGGGGCTCTCTTCGCCTTTCAGCTCTTGCTGTGTGTGGTAACTTCTGTGTCAAGGCCTGCCATTTTTCTCACGTTTCCTCAGGAACTTGAATACCTGAACCCATGAATCTCCTCACCTCCGCATTCCCCCAGAGGCTGTCTCATTCTCTTGCTGTGATTCTCTTTTTTTTTTTTTTTTTTTTTTTTTTTCCTCCCCCCTCCCTTGGCAGACCTGCATGGGCAAAGACGTAACCCTTCACGTCTCTGCAAGCAACCCCGCTATGCTGCTCTACCAGAAGTTTGGATTTAAGACCGAAGAGTACATCTTGGACTTTTATGACAAGTACTATCCCTTGGACAGCAAGGAGTGCAAGCACGCCTTCTTCCTCAGGCTGCGGCGCTGAGCTCGGGGTCTGCAAAAAGCCCCATCTTGTCCAGCAAAGAACCGCCACGGATTTCGGTGGAGGAGGTCGGCTGCTGACGTGAGAGCTGGAAGGCACTGACGCCTTTATTCCCTAGGTCTTCAAATGTCAACCGTGCTGTGGCGTGTGCTGAAAATACAATCCAAGAGGATCGGTTCCTACCCTTCCAAGGGTCTGGAAATGCCAACTGGGACATGCTGAAACCACTGGAAGACTCAAATTCTTTAGGGAGGGTTTTTCTGCCGCTGTTACTTTGAAGAGCCTCGTTGACAAACAAACAAAACCCAAATGAAAAAAAAAAAATACCTGTCATTTCAGAAGGGCCCCATGGATTTCAGATTTTGAAACGTACCCCCAAAAAGTTGCAGGTTTTTTGTTTCTGGTTTTTTGTTTTTGTTTTCTGGGAAGTGAACGTCTAAGCTTAAATCATCCACAGGGTTTCTGCAGTTTGATTGCTTTGTTAAGACCATGTTTTGAATCTGTGAAGGGAAACAAGATACTGGTGCACCTAGCTGGACGCTAACTTTGAGGAAGCTCTACAGGTGCCAGAACAGCAATACTGGAAGTGTCTTTTAGGAATAACGAAGAGCTTGTGAACTAATGTGATCCCGAGCACCAGGCTCAGAGGAGATGTCTTTCTTCCCTGCTGCCTCCCTTTCCCCTCGTTGACCTCGTGCTCAATGTGAAGTTCTTGTAGTGCACAGTGTTTTGTGTTCAGAGACCAGACGTCAAAGCGGGTTTGTAGCTCGGCAAGGTGGGACATGAGGGCTGCCACATCAGCTCTTTTGAGATCTTCCAGCCCATCTGCCAGTTGTTGATGCTGCGGATCGGCCCTTCGGGCACAACCTCTAACCAGGGAGCCAGCCTCTGGCTAGAAGGAACCCAGAACAGAAGTCGGAGGTGACATTTGAAACGCAGGCTCGGGTTTGTAGAAGCAATCTGTTTGCAGCTTGGAGGGAGGAGAAGGGTAGAGGTGGGCCAGTTCCAGTGCTTGGAAGCACCGAGGCTGTGATTTCACGGCTCTAAGTTTAAGTAAAGAGGAGAGCACAGAATAAATAGAAATATTAAAAGAATATGAACCCCAATGTCTCTGGTACTGGGGTCTAGCCCTCTTAGGCGGTTCAGCAGCTTCTCTCTTCCCCTGACTTTTATTGCAGAGGAACAGTAAATGGGGCAGATTGCTCTGCTGCCCCGACCAAAGGTCAGTCCGTTGCATTTTAAATAGGAATCCCAGCCGTTGTGCTGTTCCTTTCACACCAAGGCCCCCAGAGAGCTGCACAGCCAATGTCACCTCTTTTGTGCTTTGTCCACTGTGTGCACCCGTCGGGTACCTGGCTGGAGGTAGTCGTTGTTGTCTTAATGGAGTCTTCATTTTGGTAACGGCAGAGTTACGTGGACGCGACGTCTGTTTTTGTGTAGCCAATGTACATCGTCACCAAAACAAAACCAGTTTTAGTGGGAGGGGGGAAAAAGAGCCCCTTCAAGCCTTGTGTGCCCTGGCATCCGTGCCTATTTCTGCCCGCTTTACGACGACATAGAAATTTTTGGTGTTACTGATGGTGTCTATGAGTTAGCTGTATACTTGGAAAGAAACAAAAAGTTTATCTGTCTTTATGAATGGAATTAAAGCCCTTCCCTTGGAAAAGCCTACCTGTCGTCCTGCTGCTTGTTAACCTGTCTCTCCATTGTCTCATTTCACCAAAATCTAGCAAACTCAAGTAATGTATGGCTGGTAGAGGACGCGAAGCACATGTGTGGGCAGTGCAGCAAGGCAGGGAACTCTGTATTTCTCTACTGGGCATCAGTGCACGCACACAGGTGGGCCCTACCAGGCTGCTTCCCTGCCAGCCAGAATTAGGAGATAAAAGGTAATCTGAAGGCGATGACCAGTTCTGCATCGTGTTGTCAAAGGTGACCGTGAAGATGTTGAAGAGCTGCTTGTTCTGTGGCTCTGCCCCTCAGAGGGAGGATGCCAAGTGATGAAGGTGTTACAGCAGCCCTGGGATTGCCAGGGTGCTGAGGACCTCTTGTTTTATAGAATTGTAGAATCACATGGGGTTGGAAGGGACCTCTGGAGATCATCTAGTCCAACCCCCTGCCAAAGCAGGTCCACCCAGAGCAGGTTGCACAGGAACGTGTCCAGGTGGGGTTTGAATGTCTCCAGAGAAGGAGACTCCACCCCCTCCCTGGGCAGCCTCTTCCAGGGCTCTCCCCCCTCAAAGGAAAGAATTTCTTCCTCATGTTTAGATGGAACTTCTTATGTTCCAGTTTGTGCCCATTTCCTCCTGTCCTGTCCCTGGGCACCACTGAAAAAAGACCAGCCCCATCCTCTTAGACACCCTCCCTTTTAGTATTGATAAGCATTGATCAGATCCCCCCCTCAGCCTTCTCAGAACTAAAAATGCCCAAGGCCCGCAGCTTCTCCTCATTAGGGAGATACTCCAGACCCCTCATCATCTTTGTGGCCCTTTGCTGTACCTTCTCCAGCAGTTCCCTGTCCAAGGGTTCCCTATCGAGGCACTTTATTTACCCCAGATCCTCCAAGTGCCTTTAAGCCTTTGTACCACAGCCATTTTGGATCCATCTGTCACCTGGAAAAGTAGCAATACCAACCTTTGCCTTCTTCAGGGAGACTGGTAAGAATGAGCTCATTGAAGGTTACAGGGGATGGAGACGAATACTGCTGTTCTGCAGGCTGCACAAACATGAAATAGCTTTGCATTTATGTAGACATGGGTTATTTCTTGCTAATCTGCCCCCATTTCTTGGAAAATCAGCCAGTTAACTGTTATAGTTATTATATCTCACACTCCTGTGACTGTAGGCTTAAGTTTTGATCCCTTGGTGTTATCTTATCTGGAGGACACTCCCCACCCTGTTCCTTAGTGCTGCCTGTGAAAATCTGGTGTGGCTTCGAACTGCTTTCCACCATCCTTCCCTGTTGATCCCCATGGCTCTGGTGAGAACAGGGTGCAAGCGTGGCTGGCTCCAGGATCACTTTGGTGGTGGTCTGGGGAAAGATGAATAGCCGCGACCCAAGAAGGCCTTCCTGACTTGGAATGGGATCCCAGCAAACTAGAGTATAAGAAGTTCCACCTAAATGTGAGGAGGAACTTCTTTCCTGTGAGGGTGGCAGAGCCCTGGCAGAGGCTGCCCAGGGAGGTGGTGGAGTCTCCTTCTCTGGAGACATTCAAACCCCACCTGGACATGTTCCTGTGGGACCTGCTCTGGGTGGACCTGCTTTGGCAGGGGGTTGGACTAGATGATCTCCAGAGGTCCCTTCCAACCCCGTGTGATTCTATGGTCTCCAGGAGACTGGTGAAACCTATGGTATCTGTGGAATATTTCCTCGTAGCAACTCGATCTGGAGTGTGAGCACAGAGCATGGAGGCACCGTTTGGTGAGCAGGAACTTACCCCCCTACCTCCAGCAAGTCTTCGGAGGCCAGGAGGCTGAGGCACTAACGTGCTGAAATCAGGTGTTCAACCTGATGCAGGGCTGGCAGCCCTGGGGAAACACACTGGGGGTGCCGGGGGGCTCCCCCTGCCCCTCACTATGTCAGCACTAGAATTAGGCAGCCTTTGAAGTAGCTAAAAAAAGGGATGCTGCAGCTCCACCTCTCTCTTGTTGGCTGCATGGGGGCTACCTCCAGCCTCCCCTGAAGATGTTGAATCTTGAGATTCAACATCTCCCCGGAATGTTGAGTCATGAGAAGCCCAACTGGCTCTTAAGCTGAGCAGCTTGAGGCCGGGGCTTGAAGGGTCACGCGTAGCTGGCTTTCTCTGCAAGGGGTGAGGATCCTCCAGGGCTTGCAGTGAAACAAACCGGGTGCTCTTCGCCCTCTGTTTGCCTCTTTGTGCCTTGGAGACCAGCGCGGGGAGGTAACGTTCGCTGCGATTAGAAAGCCAGCATCCACCCCCCACCCCTGCTTAATGAGACCGATTACTCCACGCTTCCCTGAGCCGCTGCGCAGCGACTGTAGCGGTGACTGCCGGTTGCCTGACGCAGCCCAGTTTAACAGGACAAAGTTTTCCTGGAGAATAAAGGTGGAACCTCACCCTTTCCTAACAGGGCAGCAAAGCCCAAACCTTTCCAGGTGCTTTTTCTGAGCTTTGAGACTTCACAACCAGGAAGCTGCCCGCTGTGGTCAGCTTATCGCGCCTGTTATCTCCAGCCTGTTGAGCTGGGTAAACACCGGGATCGTTCTGCAGAGGAGTCAGTAATTTGGGAGAAGTAATGCTTTGCAGTTTTCTTTGACACGTCTCCTTCCTGAGAGTCCTGGTGTTGAACACACACACACACACATGAGCTGAACAGCCAAAGCCTTGCCTGGTCCGTTCGTTGCCCCCCGTGGTGTGAGGATGTGTTTCTTTGCAGACCCACCCGCTAGCTGCAGATAAGCTCTTGGTGAGCAGCTGAGCTGAGCCACCTTCATCCCTTGTCTCCCTCTGCTTTGCTTACTTCAGCTTCCTCCAGGAGGTAACCTGCTCCACAGAGTTGCTTCCCCATTGCCCTTGCATTTTTTTTCTGGAGGAGGCTCTGAGCAGGGTTGGCAAGAATCAGAGAATCACGGAATTGATGGAGTTGGAAGGGACCTTCTAGAGACCATCCAGTCCAACTCCCCTGCCAAAGCAGGGTTGCCCAGAGCACATCACTCAGGAGCATCCAAGCAGGAGGGCTTGAAGATCTCCAGAGAAGGGGACTCCACACCCTCCCTGGGCAGCCTCTTCCAGGGCTCTGCCACCCTCACCCCAAAGAAGTTCTTCCTCATATTTGAGTGGAACCTCTTATGTTCCAGCTTGTGCCCGTTGCCCCTCGTCCTGTCACTGGGAACCACTGAAAAGAGTCCAGCTCCATCCTCCTTCAACCCACCCTTTAGATACTTGTCAGCATTAATAAGGTCGCCCCTCAGCCTTCTCTTCTCCAGGCTAAAGAGCCCCAGCTCTCTCAGCCTTTCCTCATCAGGGAGATGCTCCAATCCCTCCATCATCTCTGTTGCCCTACGCTGGATTCTCTCCAGCAGTTCCCTGTCTCTCTTGAACTGGGGATCCCAGAACTGGATGCACTATTCCAGTTGTGGCCTCACATGCACCCTTGGAATTCCTGAGGAGCCTGAGAAGTGGTGCGAAGCCATCAGGAACCTGTTGGAGCAGGTCCAGAGGAGGGCCACAAAGATGCTCAGAGGGCTACTCTTATCTGCTTTGCTTACATCAGCTTGCTCCAGGAGGTAACCTGCTCCACGGAGTTGCTTCCCCATTGCCCTTGCGTTTTTTTCTGGAGGAGGCTCTGAGCAGGGCTGAAAAGAATCAGAGAATCATGGAATTGATGGAGTTGGAAGGGACCTTCTAGAGATCATCCAGTCCAACTCCCCTGCCAAAGCAGGGTTGCCCAGAGCACATCACTCAGGAGCATCCAGGCAGGGCTTGAAGATCTCCAGAGAAGGGGACTCCACACCCCCCCTGGGCAGCCTCTTCCAGGGCTCTGGCACCCTCACCCCAAAGAAGTTCTTCCTCATATTTGAGTGGAACTTCCCATGGTCCAGCTTGTGCCCGTTGCCCCTCGTCCTGTCACTGGGAACCACTGAAAAGAGTCTGGCTCCATCCTCCTTCAACCCACCCTTGAGATACTTGTCAGCATTAACAAGGTCTCCCCTCAGCCTTCTCTTCTCCAGGCTAAAGAGCCCCAGCTCTCTCAGCCTTTCCTCATCAGGGAGATGCTCCAATCCCTCCATCATCTCTGTTGCCCTACGCTGGATTCTCTCCAGCAGTTCCCTGTCTCTCTTGAACTGGGGATCCCAGAACCGGATGCACTATTCCAGTTGTGGCCTCACATGCACCCTTGGAATTCCTGAGGAGCCTGAGAAGTGGTGCGAAGCCATCAGGAACCTGTTGGAGCAGGTCCAGAGGAGGGCCACAAAGATGCTCAGAGGGCTACTCTTATCTGCTTTGCTTACATCAGCTTGCTCCAGGAGGTAACCTGCTCCACGGAGTTGCTTTCCCCGTAGCCCTCGCACTGTTTTCTGGAGGAGACTCTGAGCAAGCACCGCCTGACGCTTTGGCCGCTGCAGGAAACCCAGCCCCTGCTCAGAAACGGAGCCGGTTCTTCCCCGCTCAACCAGCTGCCTCCTGTCCCCGTGGCAGCCAGCCAGAGGGACGGGTCCCGCTTCCTTCTCCGGGCAGCAGCGTTAGTCAGGCAGAGAGGCCGAGTTCAGCCGCTCCCGCTGCCTGCGGGAAGGGAAGGAAAGCCACCCGTGCCAGGAACGGGCAGCTGCTGGCACACAGTGGTGGGAGCATCTCTGCGAGGGTCCCGCCTCACAGGGACCCTTCCCGCTGTGCTTCTCTACCAGCTCTGCCCACACAGAAACCTACCGTGCCCTCTTGATGATGGAGCATCTCCCTTACAAGGAGAGGCTGAGGGACTTGGGTCTTTTTAGTCTGGAGAAGAGAAGGCTGAGGGGGGATCTGATCAATGCTTATAAATACTTAAAGGGAGGGTGTCAAGAGAATGGGACCAGTCTTTTTTCAGTGGTGCCCAGGGACAGGACAAGAGGAAATGGGCACCAACTTGAGTATAAGAAGTTCCACCTCAACATGAGGAGGAACTTCTTTCCTGTGAGAGTGGCAGAGCCCTGGCAGAGGCTGCCCAGAGAGGGGGAGGGGTCTCCTTCTCTGGAGACATTCAAACCCCACCTGGACACGTTCCTGTGCAACCTGCTCTGGGTGGCCCTGCTTTGGCAGGGGGGGTGGACTGGATGATCTCCAGAGGTCCCTTCCAACCCCATATCATTTTGCAATTCTTATGGGTGAAATATATTAAAATAAAAAAAAAGTTCAAACTGTCCATCTTGTCCTTCCCCATGGATTTGTGCAGCAGACCTTAAAAAAAGTATCCTTTTTTAACTTAATCACAGAATGGTCAGAGTTGGAAGGGACCTTCAAGATCATCAAGGTCCAACCCCCCTGCCCTGGGCAGGGACACCTCCCACCAGACCAGGTTGCTCCAAGCCCCATCCAGCCTGGCCTTGAACCCCTCCAGGGATGGGGCAGCCACAGCTTCTCTGGGCAACCTCTTCCAGTGTCTCACCACCCTCACAGCAAAGAATGTCTTTCTGGTATCTAACCTAAATCTCCCCTCTTCCAATTTAAAACCATTCCCCCTTGTCCTGTCACTGCACTCCCTGACAAAGAGTCCCTCCCCAGCTCTCCTGGAGCTCCCTTCAGATCTTGGAAGGCTGCTCGAAGGTCTCCCCGGAGCCTTCTCTTCTCCAGGCTGAACAACCCCAGCTCTCTCAGCCTGTTTTACCAGTAGAGGTGCTCCAGCCCTCGGATCTGTTTTGTGGCCCTCCTCTGGACCTGCTCCAGCAGGTTCCTGATGGCTCACGCCACAGGAATCCCAGGCCCCGCAGCCATGGCTGCACCCCGGCCCAGAGCCCCCTCCCTGTGGGGTTGGTGTGTGGCAAAGGGAAGGGGAACCCGGGGGAGCGGGGCTGGCACCTCACACCCCGGGCTAGCGCGGTGCCAGGGGGGCGTTTTGGGGGCTGCGAGAGCCCCGTTACCGCCCACCGGGGTTGTTAACCACCGGCAGGGGAGAGGAGGGGAAGGCCAAGCCGGGCCGGGGCGCCGCCTCGGCGGCGAGAACTACAACTCCCGTCGGCCCCCGCGCTCCCGTCGTGCCCCGCGCGCCCACCCGCCGCCGTTCGAACCCCAGCGATGGCGGCCAAGGAGGCGGCGGCGGTGCCGTTACCCGAGGAATGGCAGCAATACTTCATCCTCACCCGCGCCAGCACCTTCCGCAGCTGGCCCTTCACCGAGGGCTGCGCCTGCACCCCCGAGCAGGTGAGGCCGGCGGTGGGGGAGCGGGGCCCGGCGGCGGGGGGGGAGCGGGGGGTTAGCGGGGCCGGTGCTGACGGAGCCCTTTCCCGCTTTGTCCCTGCCCGCAGATGGCGGCGGCGGGGTTCCTGCACTGCCCCAGCGAGAACAGCCCCGACGTGGCGCAGTGCTTCTTCTGCCTCAAGGAGCTGGAGGGCTGGGAGCCCGACGACGACCCCCTGTGAGTAGATGCTGGGGTGGGATTGCCCTCGTGTCCCCCCCCGCTCCCCCCTCCGAGCGGTCCCTCCGGTGGCTTCCCTTGGCGGGAGGAGCGGCTGCCTTCGTCTTATTGTGGGCTTTTTCTCTTCTCCCTCCTCTCCCTCTTCCCTCTCTCTTACCCCCCTCCCTCCCTGCACCCCCCTTTCCCTTTTCCTTTTCCCTTTTTTCCCTTTCCCTTTTCCCTTTTTTCCCTTTCCCTTTTCCCTTTTTTCCCTTTCCCTTTTCCCTTTTTTCCCTTTCCCTTTTCCCTTTTTTCCCTTTCCCTTTTCCCTTTTTTCCCTTTTCAGGAAGGAACACAAAAAGCACTCTGCGGGCTGCGCTTTGCTCTCTCTTCGGAAAGACCCCACTAACCTGACACTGCAGGAATTCCTGAAGCTGGACAGGGAACGGGTGAAAATTGCGCTGGTACGGACCCACGGGCACACCAGGGTATTTCTCTACCTCCCCCACCCACCACCACCACCGATGATGCTGGGAGAGTTCTTGAGTTTGGAGCCTGGGGAGTGTTTGGCTGGTCTCTTGGTTCCTCACCAAAGCGGTCTGTTGCTTCCTGACCCGTGCTGGATCAGATCATAGCATCGTGGAACGGTTTGGGTTGGAAGGGACCTTAAAGATCATGGAGTTCCAACCCCCCTGCCCTGGGCAGGGACACCTCCCACCAGACCAGGTTGCTCCAAGCCCCATCCAGCCTGGCCTTGAACCCCTCCAGGGATGGGGCATCCACAGCTTCTCTGGGCAACCTCCCCCAGTGTCAGCCACACCTTCTCTGGGCAACCTCTTCCAGTGACTCACCACACTTAGAGTGAAAAATTTCTTCCTAATATCTGACCTAAATCTCCCCTCTTTCAGTTTAAAACCATTACCCCTCATCCTATGGCTCCACTTCCTAATACAGAGTCCCTCCCCAGCCCTCCTGTAGCCCCCTTTAGGTACTGGAAGGGGCTATAAGGTCTCCTTGAAGCCTTCTTTTCTTGAGGCTGCACAACCCCAGCTCTCTCAGCCTGTCCTCACAGCAGAGGTGCTCCAGCCCTCTGATCATCTTCGTGGCCCTCCCCTGGACCTATTCCAACAGGTCCATGTCCTTCCTGTGCTGAGGACTCCAGAGCTGGACGCAGGATGGTGTATCCTTTCCAGGTTCTCAGCCATTACCTCACGGGAGACGTAGCCCGATTTTCCCCTTGAAGCTGAACAACCTTCCATTTTAAGACGGTAACGTATCGTTTTTATTCTTTGCAGAAAAGAGAAGTGTCTCAGAAGGTGACCTGCGTTGAAGACGTAGCCAAGCGCGTGCGGCGTGAAATAGAGAATCTGGGCTCCTGAGGCTGCTGTAGCTTCTCTCGCTGCCGGTGACGTCTCTCTTGTACCTCTGCTCCGGCGCTGCCGCTTTCCACAACGGCGTTTCGGGGCTTCTCCTATTCCTCCTGTCATTGTAATTAAAGATTAGTACTTGTGGTTTTATTTGTTCTGTTGGTTTTTTGTTTGTTTGTTTGCTTGTTTTTAAACCCAGCTGTTTCCTTTTTGGAGATGCTGGTAGCTCTGGTGCCAAAACTCGTGTTTCTTGCAAGAGCTGGCGGGCACTTCGATTTTTATACTGAATATACCAATGCTTTTGGGTACTTTTGGAAATAAAAAGGGGAAGGAGTTTTAAAACTCCTTCAGGGACTTGGGATTGTGGCTAATAATGGCTAATTATACCAAACCTTAGTGTGCATGGTACTCTTGTAAACGTCTGTTTGTATTTGGCTGCTGCCTTGGGTTGATGCATTTACAAATAAAAGTTGAAGGCAAAAAAGGCCAAGTAATTTTTTCTCAGTTTCCTGGAGGAAAAGAATCAGACCTTTAGTGGAATGAGCTGCACTGAATGCAGTTCTAACTTCAAAATAGGAAATAAGCTAACGAAGGACGGCTTGTAGTGCCAAGCTGTCTTAGGCAGCGTTCGTCAGGTCTCCTTAAAAATCTCCTTCTGCCTTGAAAGGTTTGGTTGGTCCCTCTCCTTGCACAAGTTTGGAAAGGAAAAGAAATCTTACAGAACAGCGCGCAGACAGTGAAGAATTGTGCTCTGAACTGCTGGGGAGGAGCTGGGGAATCTAGTACCAAGTAGCTGGTGGCTATGGGACCCAAGTGGCTTGTGTGGGGCTGTGAAACCCACAGAAGAACTGGCCTCGTGCTCTTTGGGTGCTCCCCAACTCCGAGAACCTCCAGCTCCATCCTGGGGAAGAGGCGGTCACAATCACACGCTGATGAGACCAGTGCTCCTGGGTTTCGTAAGTTTGTCCATTGTTCCCTCTCCAAGCTTACTTGCAAACAATGAAATCACTTCATTATTTCCACCTGTAACAGCCAAATCGTACGCTGACTGCCCTTTTGCATTCTCCTTTTCCGTGCTTGCGTTGCAGCTGTAAATAAAGAACAGATTGTTTTAAGTTACTTAAATTCACCCCAAGTCACTGGAGTTGTAGGTAAGTGGTGACGCGGAGTCGTTGCAGAATTTCTGGATGCTTATTCCTGCAGGGACACGACTGTGAGATAAGGGCACCGAGGCTCAGCCAGGCCCTGGTCCTTCGGTTTTGGCAACTAGGTCCGTGCGGGTAGTGGCCCAGCTGTGGTACTTACTCTAACAGGACTCGGACGCACCCCTCTCCCTCCGATCCCAGCAGAACCGCCTCGTGGAGAGCAGTGTTGCTGTGCCTGCGCAGGAGGAACGAGCAAGGTACTCAATACCTAAGGAAACTGCCCTGGGATGTGGAGAAAGGGTCTCGCAAATTAAACTAAGGAAAGTGAAGAGGACGACAGAGAATACGGTAGGAGTCACAGTAATTTCTCTCTCCTCTCTCTTCTCCTCTCTCTTCTGCTCTCTCTTCTCCTCTCCCTTCTCCTCTCTCTTCTGCTCTCTCTTCTCCTCTCCCTTCTCCTCTCTCTTCTGCTCTCTCTTCTCCTCTCCCTTCTCCTCTCTCTTCTGCTCTCTCTTCTCCTCTCCCTTCTCCTCTCTCTTCTGCTCTCTCTTCTCCTCTCCCTTCTCCTCTCTCTTCTGCTCTCTCTTCTCCTCTCCCTTCTCCTCTCTCTTCTGCTCTCTCTTCTCCTCTCCCTTCTCCTCTCTCTTCTGCTCTCTCTTCTCCTCTCCCTTCTCCTCTCTCTTCTGCTCTCTCTTCTCCTCTCCCTTCTCCTCTCTCTTCTGCTCTCTCTTCTCCTCTCCCTTCTCCTCTCTCTTCTGCTCTCTCTTCTCCTCTCCCTTCTCCTCTCTCTTCTGCTCTCTCTTCTCCTCTCCCTTCTCCTCTCTCTTCTGCTCTCTCTTCTCCTCTCCCTTCTCCTCTCTCTTCTGCTCTCTCTTCTCCTCTCCCTTCTCCTCTCTCTTCTGCTCTCTCTTCTCCTCTCCCTTCTCCTCTCTCTTCTGCTCTCTCTTCTCCTCTCCCTTCTCCTCTCTCTTCTGCTCTCTCTTCTCCTCTCCCTTCTCCTCTCTCTTCTGCTCTCTCTTCTCCTCTCCCTTCTCCTCTCTCTTCTGCTCTCTCTTCTCCTCTCCCTTCTCCTCTCTCTTCTGCTCTCTCTTCTCCTCTCCCTTCTCCTCTCTCTTCTGCTCTCTCTTCTCCTCTCCCTTCTCCTCTCTCTTCTGCTCTCTCTTCTCCTCTCCCTTCTCCTCTCTCTTCTGCTCTCTCTTCTCCTCTCCCTTCTCCTCTCTCTTCTGCTCTCTCTTCTCCTCTCCCTTCTCCTCTCTCTTCTGCTCTCTCTTCTCCTCTCCCTTCTCCTCTCTCTTCTGCTCTCTCTTCTCCTCTCCCTTCTCCTCTCTCTTCTGCTCTCTCTTCTCCTCTCCCTTCTCCTCTCTCTTCTGCTCTCTCTTCTCCTCTCCCTTCTCCTCTCTCTTCTGCTCTCTCTTCTCCTCTCCCTTCTCCTCTCTCTTCTGCTCTCTCTTCTCCTCTCCCTTCTCCTCTCTCTTCTGCTCTCTCTTCTCCTCTCCCTTCTCCTCTCTCTTCTGCTCTCTCTTCTCCTCTCCCTTCTCCTCTCTCTTCTGCTCTCTCTTCTCCTCGCTCTTCTCCTCTCTTTTCTTTGGGGGGGCTTTACTGTGGTTTATTGCATTAAGTTGAGGAAGTTGATTGCGTACAACAGCAGCTTTTTCTAACAGAAATGATAAGAAATATTCGAAGCTGGCAACTGAAAGGACTGTGAATACTATTTTTGCTCGTTTGCAGGTTCTTTGGTGGTTTTTTGTTTTGTTTGTAAATTTGAAAGTAGCTCCTTGGCTACAGATTTTTTGGAGGAGGGGTGGGAGGTTAATCCTCTCTGAAACTGGAGCACAAATGCTTTTTTTGGTATAACTGCAAAAGACCAGAGACAGAGAATGACTCAGCGCTGACTTACGGCCCTGAGCGCTGGTCGATGTCAGCGCCTCCCTGCACGAGAAGAGAGATGGCTTCCGTGGGCTTGTTAAGGACAGCAAGTGTGAGAGCAGGTGGGTCCTCCTCACTGGTGCAGTTTGGGTCAGCTCCCTGGAAGGCAAAGGAGAGGGGAACCGGAGTTGTGTTAAAGCCGTAAAGATTCTTCAGCTTCCACCTTGCTTTACAGAATCACATGGGGTTGGAAGGGACACCTCTGGAGATCATCTAGTCCAATCCCCTGCCAAAGCAGGTCCACCCAGAGCAGGTTGCACAGGAACGTGTCCAGGTGGGGTTTGAATGTCTCCAGAGAAGGAGACTCCACCACCTCCCTGGGCAGCCTCTGCCAGGGCTCTGCCACCCTCAAAGGAAAGAAGTTCCTCCTCATGTTAAGGTGGAAATTATTATACTCAAGTTGGTGCCCATTTCCTCTTGTCCTGTCCCTGGGCACCACTGAAAAAAGACCGGTCCCATTCTCTTGACACCCTCCCTTTAAGTATTTATAAGCATTGATCAGATCCTCCCTCAGCCTTCTCTTCTCCAGACTAAACAGACCCAAGTCCCTCAGCCTCTCCTCGTAAGGGAGATGCTCCAGGCCCCTCATCATCTTTGTAGCCTCTGCTGTCCCCTCTCCAGCAGTTCCCTGTCCTTCTGGAACTGGGGAGCCCAGAAGTGGACAAAATCTTTAAAATCATGCCAAATTAAGTTGGCAAATAGTCTCTGTGCTCAAGACCGAGAAGTGCTCCAATTGCAGTATTGATTCTTAAGGATCCTTCTGAAAGCGTTTGTCCTAGAGCAAAACCAGAGTAAATGTGTCCAACGAGGGCAGTCAAGCTGGAGCTCACAGTCAGGATGTGCCCACGCAGCAAAAAGGCAGAGGTTCTTCTTTCTTTTGCTATACAGAGGGCTTGACCCAAAACTATAATATTAATATATTTTTATTTCTATATGGCCTTGACAAACCCAGATGAGAATGCTTTTCTATTTTGGCTCTACTGGCCAAATAGAAATTTGGGGAGAACACATACAAACAGAAAACAGGCTATTTCTTCTCCAAAATGCTCTTCCAACCTGAAGACAGTTGTCTTGTAAGGATATTGCCTCTGAATCATGAAGTCAGTGGCAAACCAGGCTAATATTCACGCAGTAAATGGTCAAAGAGTTGGAAAGGGAAACTTCAGCAAGCAGTAACTTACTTCACTGAGCAATTGTTCTACCAAGGTGACTCTTCCTTTCCCATTTGGACCCAGTTCATCCAGTAGTTGTCTGGACTCTGACTGTGGAAACACAGAAAACAGCCAGTAAGGTTTCACACAGTGAAATTACAAGTAGGTGGGCCATATTCTGCCTTTGAGTAAAGGTGTAAAACGCACACAGTGGCGTGAATGTAGCCGAGGGAAGAACGCGGCGCAGCTGAGCCTCAGCCTTACTAACTCATGTCCCTTCTCTGAGAATTTCTGAATCTGAGCAAGTGTTGGACAACCCAGGTGAGTACTTCCCTGCTAAGGTCTTGGTTCAGCCATCGTGTCTGCGAGTGACTGGCTTTACATCACTGCAGCTCCCCAGGGCTGTACAAAGATCTCTTCACCACGTTAAATGTGGGCGCAAGTCCTTTGATATAGAATTAAAGTTTGAAGCTTCCCGAACTTGTGGAAGTATTTTATTTAGGAAAAAAAGAGTATGTCTTGCCTTGCAGAAATTTGATAATTAAATCTTGAAACAAACCAACCAACCCCAAAACCTTCTCCTTTTATTTCTTCCCATCTCCTTCCTCTCCCCTTTCAAAAGCCTGATCGCTTGACCAAGCATTTTTATCCCTGGACTCGTATCGCAAAGCTTTGTATCTTCTTCCACCCACTGAGCTGGTCAAGTGGTCCAACCTGAAATTAATGCACCTTTCCCTTTTTTGAGTTTTCTGTGCTATTACCGATGATCCATTTAGTGGGCAGTGCTTCCAGGATATTTCTCTAGTGGAAGTAAATAAATCCTTGCTTCTTGTATGAAGCCAACCCTCGGTTGTGCTGACATCTCAGCTTTATGGGAAAACTGAGTTGACTTAAAAGCTTGTTGTGTAGATCATCTTCCCCTGCCTAGTTCACAAGCTGACTGCACAAACAGTAGTTCTAGCACAGGCAAGGATATGTCCTGTGGACTCGAATCATGTAGTAAGGGTGAAGAGAAGATGATAATGTCTCCACGTGACATGGCTTCTGAGGAAAAACCTGTAACAAAATCAGTCTGCAACAGTCTTTAGGCCTAACGCTCTGTCAGTAAAACAGCAAGGGTCCAAAAACAAAAGTAACAATCTAAGCTGTTAGTAGAAACAAAGTTTGCTTATTTCCAGTTCTGTAATAAAAGTCTGCTACAATTTTTCAGGGTGTATATTAAGTCGGACTTCTGTCCTCTTTCCTCCCCCCCAGCCAGTGCTAAAAGCTTTCAGTTTCTACCCTTGGATGCTCTCTTTCACGTTCGTGCTGCTCTACAGGTAGGTTTTGCTGTACTGGCAGAAGATACGTACAGGGAGCTTATCTTCTTTTTCTGTAAGTGTTCTTGACTTTGTTCTCTTCATTTTGCCTCTAGATTGGAAAATATTATGATCATCTTTGCCTAACAGAAAGGGAAACAAGTGTTAATTCAAAGCAAAGTCAGTATCCTAACAAGAACTCGGGGGAGAGATCTGGAAATAATTTATCCACAGAAATAGTTTATTTTGTGTTGAAATGAAAGCACTATTTATCAGTTTTCTACAAGAGAAAGTGGTGAAATATTTGTTGCAGATCAGACTGGTTTTAACAAAAGCCTTGCACTCAGGCAGACTTAAAAACTTGCTATTTTGAAATGGAGATTCAATGTAATGCGGGGTTTTGGGGGGGCTTGAGTCTTTTTTTAACTGACTGCAGCTATTCAACAGGCTTGACTCAGATTCATTAATTGTTTTGACCAAAAACTTTTCAATGCTGTTTAGTTCCTAAATACGTAAGAATGAGACTAAAGGACCTTGAGTAGTTATGTATGTCCATTATTTTTAAGAGACGTAACCCACTAGTGTGCAGGAGGGTTGCTAAGGAAATTATGCAGCATGTGGGTGGTTTGAGCTGGTGTTACCAGAATTCCTGGAATCACAGCATTATGGACACTCCAGAAAACCAGCTTCTAGCACCGTGGCTGCCACTTGCCAAGCATCAGATTTGAAGCACATACTGGCTGAAATTTCTACGTGAATTGAAGTATGTCAAGTTATAGCATAGGAATTTCTGAATTCTAGTGCTGACTTTACAATCAGTTGATTTAATGAAAACCAAAGTCCCATATGTGATGTCTAAAATGCTGAGCTGTTGCTGACACCAGTGGGAGATGCAAGTTAAGCATCTCTGAAAACTGGGTCTAGAATTAATGTATTTCATCATTTCTTATCTTTGCCAAATGTGCTAAAGTCCCTGGCAGAGCTCAAAAGTAGAGATAATATTGACATTTATGGCTTCTATTTTAAAAGAATATGCGAAGCATCTAAAGTTTTATTACTATAAGAAAGACACTGCTATGGGCTGCAGCTGCAGGTTACCAGCTTCTTCATCTGTCCTCTAGGGAGAAAGACACTGCTATGGGCTGCAGCTGCAGTTTACTGGCTTCCTTATCTGTCCTCTAGGGATGAAGCATTCACGGGAGTTTTTGATGCAGTCTGTGCATTGCTTAAGTCTCAACTCAGCCACATTTTGAAGCTTAAAGATCAGCTTAAGTAGGCGCAGAATGTGCCAATATACTCATTTGCCTGTCTCAATGTCTACTCTCCTAAGCACTACTTCCACAGTCTTGACTACTATATTTATGGTCTAGCATAAAGACAGGGGGATGGGGGGGGGGGGGGAAATCTCACCAAAACTAGTCTGCCTGCCATGCTGTCCACCTCTGACTTCTGTTACAGTGTTCAGGTAATGCCCGCTGAACTTCACTGGTTTATTAGTATGAATATCCTGTAGAATCATCAAATGCAGGCAGTTATTCAGATTATTGTGTAATGCTATTATAATCTCAGTAGCACAAAACAGTGATGTTGCCTATGGAAAAATATATAGGCTTTTAATACCAGTCTCAAATTAGCAAAAGAGAAATCATTATATGTAATTAAACTCTGTTTTGAGGCAAAATAATGTAGCGTTATTCTTTTTTCCTAAACCTTGTGTTAGGTATTTGTTTTGATAAAAAAAAAAAAAGAAAAGAAGTGACACAACCTCACTAAATGAAATGAAGATTCTCCTCCAAATGAAAGCACGTCTACCACTTGGGAGATCAGATAAACCCCTCACTTGTGAAATGATGTGATACACCTTTTCAAGCACCACTTGGCAAGGTAAGCTTTTAAAGATTCTAGGCAACAGATACAGTCTGAATTTTGGACTTTGAAATGGTAGATTTCAATCTTTGAAAAGCTGGACATGAATACAGGATGGGTTTTGGACCATGGTAATTCTGGAAGTAGGGATTTTAATGTTTGAATACAGTGAACAGGAACTCTGGCAAACGTTATCTCCAAACTATTGGAAATTACTAAGCTGGTTTCTTAAGAGCACAATATGCAGATTGAAGAAAAGGAGGCTCTAAGGTGTGCTAGCATGATCAAATAGCATCAACTGAAAGAAGAATGTTAATATTAATAGCAAACTACTGAAATGCAACATAGCCATGAAGTATGGCTTTATCAGATAAAGATACCTGCTCAGCTAGCTCCAACAGAAAAAGAAAAAATTCCTTTCTCTGAACTGATGAGTTAACACCCTCTGAACAAAAGAATTTATTGTTTAGACCTGAGTTTAAAATATATCAGCCTTACACTGACTGGTCTTGCAACAGCTTTAGACCTGCTGCCTAATGACAGGCCTCATCCCCCAAACTGACCTTGTTAATAGCAAGAGCGTAATTCAATGTAATAGTGACTTCAGAGTCATCCTCGTGGATGGTAGCAGAATTAATCTAGAGGGAAAGAGCAACCATTAGCATCACTTAGAAAAAGTACACAGAAATAGTGTTAGGAATAAGTCTTGCTGATGGTTATTATGGAGCCAATACACAAACTGACACTTGTGGCCTTTGCCTACTTGTGATATTGTACCAACATGTCCCATCTAACTGGGCAAGGGGCAGGTGGTATTTCGGGTAACTGGAAATATCAGAATGGCTGAAATGCCAAATGAATCCAAAAGATGTAGTAATGCTTCGTTTCGTTAAAGTTCAGTCCTCTTCCACCCAGATCTTGCAGCTGCATGGAAGGCTGTGTTCTCTTTAGGATTCCCTACTCCGGGAGACCTGGTGGCTGCTCTAGTTTTATCAGTCTGTAGGAGAACAGCTTGGAGTAAAACAGGGGTAACTTCCTATATCAATCCATGGAGACACTACTGCTGGCAAGAAGACTATTGAAGTCATACATAAATAAGTGCCCAGGGGGTTATAAAGAAGTGGAATGAAGCTGACAAGGTTATATCGCAGCAGGTTGAGAATTTTGAGGTAAGGTTGGTTGAATTTCTAATCGGCAGGAAAACTGAAAAAGCAGTATTAAACCCAAATAATTGGCATCTACTTTGAACCACTTCTGTTGCTTTTGGGGGCAGTGGTTTCAAGACAATAGGGTGACAAATGGCCAAGAAGCAGCAGGAATAGCCTTCTCTAGGCAATTTAATATTTTTCAGGCATATCCTTTTGAATCCTCTAGCAAAGGAAACAAGTTGCATATTTTATATTTATACATGTACTTTAACTTCTTAACATACAAGTGGATGCAATGGGTCTCAGTGGGTATAGAATTTAGATGCAAAGTATCTGGTTGAGTGTCCTATCTCCCAAAAGTGTAACCTGCCAAATGACAATTAGATTTATGAACCCCAGTACTCACAAACTTTTCTGAAGTTGTTTCTATGTGCTAAAATTAGAGGGTTTTGACTGGTGTGTCCCATCAGTTAGGACAGGGTAAAAAATAGTGTACTTGAACTGTAACAGGGGAGACTTAGGTCAGACACTGGCAAAAAGCTTCCCAGTGGCTATGCCAGTTCAAGAAGATCCCAACACTACTTCTGCCTGCATCCCAACTCCAGCTACTCACTGCCAACCTACTTCTGAATTAGCGCTGATGCCCTTGTTTTCCCCCCAGAGCTATTTTTAGCCAGGGTCAGTGGCTGATCCAGTCCACAAGCCGTTGACACGAGCAGTAGTGCTGGCAGCACGGAGGAGGCAGGGTGAAGGGATGCAACTCCTTAACCCAGCAGGGCTGCCAAGGAAAGCAATACAGCACTGCAGCTGAACAGCAAGGATAATTGAGCGCAGAAACGGACTGCCGCGGGCAATTGTGAAATCTCCATTGTTGGTGAGTTTGAAAAGCTTCAAGACAAACATCTGTCAGGAACAGTTTAGTCAGAGTTGATCCTCCCTCAGGACAGGGACCAAATGATCTCTGTTATACCAGCCCTATCTTCTAAGACTCTTTAGGAAGGACCCCCAGTTTCCATTTTCTTGCTATCACCCCTTTAATCACCTTAATGCAGTTTTGGTGACATCCTGAAGACTACATCTCCAGTGAGAAAAACACTGTTCCTATAAGACTAGTTTATACTAGAAGTAGACTATGTATGTAGCCAAAGAGGATTGCTGCTATCTGCTGGTATAATCCAGCCTGGAGGAGTGGGGAGCTTATCGTTCCATCCCATTTCTAGCAGGGCTTCTTTAACTGACCAACTACACAGATGTCAGCGTTCTCTTCTTTGTCTTGGCTGCCTGCTGGGGGATACTATAAAAGCAGCTGAGCAAGGGCTTTCTGGCTTCTATCACTTCTCTTACAGCTGTGAGGTGAGAGACGAATAGAAACTGCCACAGGAAAGAAAGCAGAAAAAAAAAAAATCTTCAGTAAAAGACTGAACAAAAAAATGGAATGACAAAACAAAACAAATTGCACACACAAACAGCTCAAGGTATAAAGAAAGGGGAGGCATCTATTTTCCCAGTGTTTATCTAGCAGCCACAATAATCTTTTCATGAGGCTGCATAGGAAGGTTATAGTCACAAGCTTCTTCCTACCTTTCCCATTCGAGGTTCTCCAATCAGTGCTCGGAATTCCAGGTTGTTCTGAGTGTAGCTTCTCAGGTGAGCGCAGACGTGATCCAGCTGTTTTCTCCAGTAACCTGAATCAGAGAGAGTTAAGCAGCAGGAAAATCCCTGAAATTGTGATTAACATTTCTTCTACTCATGCGGTGGATGACTTAAAAGAGAGCATATTTTCATGGAGACAAAAAAAAAAAAAATCTAATTTTTCTTTAGAAAATTAATCTGATGAAGAAAAGGAGAAGCAAGTTACACCCTAAAAAATAATTAAATGCTTTCTTATCCACAGGTTATAGTTCATTCTTAGGGCACCTCTATTCACAACAAAACCGTGTCTTGGAATTGTCCTTTGGTATCAAACCTGGCCCTGTGTGAAGGAGAATCTCCCACTAAAAAAAGAAGGTACCATATTACAACTAAGGGATTGTGCATTGTTGAACTGATTTTCAGTCAGTTTGAGATCACCAACAGGTAATAATAGGCCAAATCTGAAAACTGTAGATTTAGTAACTCAACCTATACAGCATTCTGGTCTGTGTAAATTATTCCCCAAATAAACGTCTTTCAATTATATATCTGGGAGAGCATATTAAAAGTTTAAGCATTCCTGCTGCTTTGCCTGTCAGGGTCTCTGGGAGAGAGTCAGCGTTCCTTTATGCTGGTCCAGGGCATGAAACATGAGGGGCTGAATGCGCCTGGATTCAAAACTCATCTTAAGCCATTTAGAGTTTTTTGCAGTATTTCCAAGTATTTCTGAAGCAATGTTCTGTTTTCGTCAGAGAAGGAAACAAAAGGAGTTGTTCTCATTCTTAAGCGATTGTTATCAGGATCTGGCTGATTTTATTTTTGAGCATACTTATGGAAAGTACAGGGTATGATTTATTTTGTTGTAAATGAATTGTGTAGGCTTGGTAACCTTGTTTGACTTCCACAGTGAAGTCTCTCCGACCTTATCCTTCCCTTCATGTTAAGTGAAGCTCAAACCAGCAAAAAGAGGCCAAGTCAAAAGAAAAGTGCTGACCTGAATTTTACAAGAAAAGATTTTTGTGCTTGGAGGACTCTTCCAAGATCAAACTGGTAGAAACTATGACAAACTAAACCAGCAAGTCTTATTTGTTAGGCAGTTTTAAAGGAATATAAAAAGAAGGATCCACAGAGCAACATAAATCGTTCCCTGCCAGGGTGTCACATGCAAACTAGCACAAGTTGAAAATAGTAATTAAAAAGTCTAAGCTAGACTACTACTTGGTGAGTGATCCCTCCAGAGAAGTCGCTATCATTTGCAATAAACTGGTTCATAACTAGCCTAGATCCCCAGATTGAATTTCAAAAAATCCAAATGTCTGGGAACGTTTGATGTTTTATTACATCTAAAAGGATTTTTGGCAGCACTGAGAATGCTTGAATTCATGCTGTCAGTAGCTGATTACACCTATATCACACAATCTTACTGTTTGTTACACTAGAGAAGGGGAGCCTTCCTTGTAAAGTTTACCTGGTTCCTGTTAAAAATAGACTGAAAGTACAGCAAAAAAAGAAATACAGTACATATCAGAGGATTAGTGTTTTGTACTGCTTATTACTTGTTATTTACCCCTCTCCTAACTGTTTTAGTTTTATTTTTAATCTTCACAAAAGAAAAGAAGGTTAGTTAATGGCTGATAAGAAATGAAAAAACCCAACCAACTTATTTAATCACTTGTATTTAAACAATTTAATATCAAATGTCTGATACTATTTGAATTGAAGAAATAATGGACATATTTGGCATATATAAACAAGATTTTCCTGAGTAATAGTGTATGGTCTTGTTGATACAGGTAGTTTCAAGCCATATATGCAGCTCAGCATCAAGGGAAGGGAACAGCATGAAAGCCTTGACTGCAACAGACAGTTATTGATTTATAGAATGAATTATGTTCCTCAGTTCTTGGCAGGGTCTAAAGGAGGATACATTACAGAGTGCAACTCCAACAAAGTTACCTCTGCTAAATGGATAAAAATTAACATAGTTCAAAAGCAGTTCAGAATTTCTTCCCAGCCTTTCCCAGTGAAAGGAGTTCTCACAAGTCAAGAGCTGTACTTTTCACAGAGATATATGAATGTTCGGTGTTACTACGCTGTACTTTTCACAGAGATATATGAATGTTTGGTGTTACTACTTTTTTTTTTTCTTTTTTTTTTTTTATCTCAGCACTATTCTGGGCCAATCCTTTATTATCTCTGACTAAATTAAGGTCCCTGACATGTTGAGTCAAGTGCTGTATTTCCTACAGTGATATCTAAAAGAACATGCCACATTTCAGAGCGAAAGGGTAGGAAAACAGATTTCCCTTGTGATAATTTTAAAAATAAAAGCACATCATCGGGGTATTTATACATTGAGTCAAAAAAGGAAATTTGAACATTCATTAATAACTTTTTCTACCCAACAAATAAGTCCAATAACGCCCTGAGGTGCTGACCCTCTGGTTGTAGAAAAGAGCTAGAGATGGGGAAGCAGCTCAAAACAATTAACTGTGGTTTGATGCTGTAGTGATTTAAAATTAACTTATTCTCTGGACTGCCCAGCTGGACTGCCCTGTGAGATTAAAGACAGCTTTGAAAATTGGGCCATTTATTAGGTCCCTAATTAGTCCTGATGGATTTGAAGTCCTGTCTTTAAGCGTTTGGGATCCGGAAAGCTGAAGTTGGAGTTTTTCCAGGATACTAAAACTAGAATCTGTAAAAATTGCAGACTTTGTGATGACAGCAAACAGTCAAGTGATTCCACAAGTAACTAACTGACCAAACCAAGGACTGTGAAACAAAATTGTTTGCAGTACTGATCCAGTAGTCTGTGCATGGATGGTCTCTGCAATGAGCAACGCAGATGTACTGGTACCTTTACGAGGCTGGAAAATGGGGCCTGCAAGAGCTCTCAAGGTTTCTACCAACCCTGTTTATTGTATTCCCGATAAAAATCCCTTTCTCTAGTTTAGTTTCCTTTGCTTCCAAAACCTCTATAATCTATTCCACAATACCACTGCAAACAAGTTCTTCACATAGAAGAAGAATATCCTGATCACATTTTTCAGGAGCTATCTTATAAGATCTGAGGAAATCAAACTACTAGCAAATTAGTAGGGCTACATAGGGGTCAGTAACCACAATATTGATATTGCTGGTGGGCTTTCTTTTAGCTGCCAATGGAGATCAGTGATCTGAATCCCAAGGCACCGCATTTACAGGTGGCTGGTGGGAAGACAGGTTTGTAAAGATGTAAATTAGCATCCTACTGATGCCACATTTCATAGACTAGAACTTTTTCAAGGAGAAGGTCAAGGTCATACATCGCAGCTTTGTTTAGAAAACATAAAAATCAAAACTCCTAACCTTTTCCAGGACTAATAGCTGTCAGGAGAGGCTTATGATCACTCATCTTTTCCAGCTTTTCTTTTTGTGAAATCAGCTCAAGCTCCTTCTTTTCCAACAGTTTGCTAGATGGGTAAAAAAGTCCAATGGTTTGGGTTCCTTTATCTTCTCTTTCTTTTAGTTCTGCCTTTGATTTGGGCAAGGAAAAAGGAAGAGACTGCCAGGCAACTTGAGCTTGAAATCGTTTAGCCTGTGGGGAGAGAAGGAAAAGTGCAAGTAATATAATTAGATATAATTAAATGGCTTACAAGCAGAAATTAACTAGGCCAGAATACAAAATTTAAAGGAATGAAAAAGTTAGCGGGAAGAATCAGTAACAATTCTTGATTTTAATTACCAGTCTGTAACAATGAAGCAACTTATCACAAATATTCAAGCAAAAGCAAAACTCTTCATGATTGCCAGCAGAATGACATGTGTGCTTTTGTAGGACAAAAGCTGGCCTTGCTAAGTACGATGGTCTTTCCTAAAACAGAGTTTTCAAAGCTCTGTTACCTATGCATAAAAGAATACCTTCTATCAGCAGGGCACAAATAATTGACAAGTAATAAGATAAAAGCACTTAAAGAGGTAAGACTTCTGCAAAGCTGATTGTTTCTCACTTTCCTGCTTAGAATAAGGCTGGATTGTTTCTCACTTTCCTGCTTAGAATAAGGCTAGATTAAGGCTAAGGCTACTTTTCAGCAGAAAGTAGTTCTCAGAATAAACATATCCTCAGTTTTGCCCTCAGCATGCTCACCGAGCACGACGTTGCCTCGAAGAGGGAACGAAGGGAGTTGTGCTGATCTCTACCTACAGTGGAGCCTTCTTTTAGCTGTCTTCAAGCCCAGCTTTGTAACGCCATGTACCTTACCTCAGAAAACCCTGGTGAGTCCCCAGCATCCATGAGACTCCCCTTCTGAGAGCCCACCCTTGAGGGAGGCTCTATGTAAACACCGCAGGACCCACAGAAGCGAGCGTAGGGACGGTTGCTTGTACCACACTTGGGACAAGTAAAGTAGGATGGAAGAGGTCCGGGCTGGAAAGTTGAATGGAACAATTTGTCACTACAGAAACACGGTGCGTGCTCCAGGAAAGATAAAAGCAGTGACGTGAATTAAAAGGAGTTAAAGTAGCACTACCTAGAGCTATTAGATTAGAAAAATTAACCAAGATGCCAGACTGCTAACACACTGGCAGATGCAAGACAGTAAATCTTCAGCTATCTCAGCACTCTGCTATGGAGGCAAACATTTTTTTTTTCAGACAGATCTAGCATTTTGGTATGTTACTTTTTTAGTATATACTTTCAAAAATATTTGTTTTCTTTGACAAAGCCCTGTCGTTACTAATGTGTGCTCTGATACTGAATATTGAATGCAATTCTTTCCCTTTCAATTCTAACACTACCCCCACCACCCCAAGTCCTCTGGTACAGTATAGGACCAAGGGTTACGTTTGCATATAGGGAATATGTAGACTCAGCTCACAGAAAAAAACATAAACTGTATGATCTTAGCTTGAAACACTGCGCTTGTAAAAATATATGCCAGATGAAATTGTTTACATTGATTGTACCATGCAAAAGCTCTACCGAGCAGCAGTTAAGAGGAAGTACTTGTCTTCAGTGAAGTTAATGAGGCCTTCAGCCAAAAAAAATTTCATGCATCATCTCACCTCTGGTGATTACTTGTAGAGGTGATCATATCCCAGAGTAGATATGGGAAAACCTGCATTGAGTTAGCCTATACTTTAACCTTTGATGGCAAAGTTACTCTGGCAGAGTACACAGCTATTGCATCCCAGTTGATGCAATCAGCTGATGCTCATTGACCCATGGCAATTAGTTTACATCTCTAAACCCTCAAGTCACTGACTGAGGCAGGGTCAGGATGTCAGCTAAGCCCTTAATTTTAATTTATATAATCCTACGTGCTCTAAGCAAGTATTTTGATAATAATAAGCTATGTACTAACTGAAGAGTTTTGCAAAAATAGGTTTGAATTTGCTGCAGGTCACAGATGAGTAAAAACAGATTCGCCAGCACAGAGTTGGAGAACACGTGCCTTGGCTCCACACCAGTCACAGAAACGGGCATCGCACTGGTTAACACGATTGCATTTTGAGCAGGACACTGTCTTCCTTTGCGGGTTGGGATACGGCGGGGGAGCGTCTCCTCCAAACGTGGGCTAGTAAAAGAATAAAAAGCATTAGGGAGAAAACACTTCTTAGGAAGACAAGTTCACAAGATAAATAAGGTGAGAGAGGAAAGCAAGCTACTTTGAGAACATCAAGTAATATTCAGTCTAAAAGAATTATTTCAACCTAGAATAAGCAACAGACTGACTTGGATCTACCTTGTATTTTTTTCATTACAAAACCACAGTAAAATGTTGCATTGATTAATTTTTAAATATTTTTGTGGAATTGAGAGCAAAAAAAAATTTCTTTATCAATCCTGTCCTTTTACACTGAGTATTTATTAATACGGCCCTGTGTTTAAGTACACTTGAAATTAAGAGGGGGGTTTCTCTGCTAATGAACTTATATTTTCAAATCCAGAACACAACAGCTATTTTTCTTCGTGTTGTTTTTTGTAGTAGTGTGGCAAGGAGAGTAAGTTCAGACAATGAGTTTTCTCTCCATTTGGTATTTGCTACATAAATACTTTTTTGCACTTTTTTACCTCATACAAGTTATACATTACCTAGCTTTCCTACTACAATTAACTTTTATGGGTATGCAAAAGAAAACAGATTTTTCAGCTGGAACTTCTAGAGGTTGATTATAGATCCCAGTTAGGACATATAGACCCTAGTTAGGACACACAGGTCTTAAAATGTTTTGACAGGTTTCGTCTCAGGGCTCATGCAGTTTATTTTCTCTGCAAGTCAAGACTATGGCCAAGGAACAGAACCAGAGGAAAATTATTTCCATTACAGACACCTCAACAGCGAATAAGCAAACACAAAATAGCCCTATTTCATCTGTGGCCTGCATTGCAAGTTGAACAATGTAACTTGGGAGGTTCATTTGGAAGATAAAATTTACAAGAGCACAAGTCTAAACATGTTCTAAATCTAAATTATTTAATAACCATTAATAGTAACATCAACATTATTATTATTATTAATTATTCAGTAATTACTATTGTTATCAGCAATTAATCACTACTGTTTGTAAAATTTCTGATTACTGTTAATAATAATTCAGTAAGCATTTAACAACTGCAGCTACTACAGGTCTCACCATTCAAGTCACATGCCTAACTACATATACAGCTACATATTATTATCTACATTCAGTGGAGCAGCTAAACATATTTATCTTAGGTAAGTACAGATTCTAACTGAAATTCACTCTAAAATGATGCCTTAGTGGCTACACAAGAGACCTTTGCCTCTAGCCACCGGCAGTTTTAGAACCAGGATGTTGCCGATATAATCAGCAGATTTTAATTTCTCTAATTTCTTTATTTATCACAACCTGGAGAAGTGAAATGTACCGTGAGGTTTGCATGCTAACCTTCAGAAGTGAAAGTAAAATTCTTCTAAGGAACCAAATGAGCAAGCTAAATGGGGGAGTTGCATCAGCCAACCATTTGAGGGGAAACATTTATTGTTGCTTTTCTCACCTCTGTGCAGAGTCACAGCCAAATACAAGCAAAGTAGCAGCAAATGGAGATAAGAAAAATAATGTAAAAGAATATTTTATTTTCACATAATAATTGAAATCAATGAGAATGATCTTTCTGATGTATATACTCAAGTTTTCTACTGCCATTGAAAATAACCAGAAGACAAATAGGACTTCCTTGGAGCCAAGACAACTCATTTTCTAAGAGCCTTCAGAGCTTTCACAACGGCAGGACAAACGTGAAAGTATGTGATACACTCATGTTTAGCTGGACAATTGTGATGGAGCATCTGTGGGAGTACTGGGCTTGAATACGGCACGGGGGAGGGATTCTCTGCTTTTGTAACACAGGCACGCAGGGATATGACTTCAGTTTTCCAAAGGAAAAGAATGTTATGCTTTGATTTGATTAACCCCGGTGAGATTGATGCGAGAAACCTTACCGTCTGTATTTCGGGCAGTTTGCTTTCACAAGTCACACAGTGTTTATGGTGAAGAGGATTTCCTGTGCCACACGCCTGGCAAATCACTTTACCCTTTTAAATAGAGAAAGGATATATTTCACATGGTATTTGAAAACCGTGAACAGCAATAATAAGGAGAGAACTCGATCTTACAATGTGCTGTGGTTATTCAGCCCTGCTCTCCATAGTATGTCCATGTCTCTCTTGTACTGGGGAGCTCAGAACTCGACACTGTACTCCACATATAGCCCTACTAGTGCTGAGTAGAGGAGAAGGATCACCTCCCTGTACCTGCTGGCACCACACTTCCTAAATGCAGCCCAAGATAGTGTTAGACTTTTTCAAGCAGATCCCTGAAGAGGCCAAAGTCTGCTCTCCTAAAGTCCAGCACTGTTCTTTCTTTTTGCACCTGCTCCTTCCTCTCGAGGACCTGAACTCCACCATCTCATGGTCATTCCAGTCAAGGCTGTCTCTGATCTTCATACCCCAAGAAGCCCTTCCTTTTCTGTAAGTATGAGACCCAGCAGAGCACCCTTCCTCACTGGCTCCTCTATCGCTTGTATCAAGCAGTTGTCATCAATGCTTTCCAGGAACCTCTGGCTTGCTTATGCCCTGCTGCATTTTTCCTCCAGCAGATATCAGGATGCTTAAAGTCCCCCATCAGGACCAGGACCTGCAAAGGTAAGCCTACTTCTAGCTGTCTGTAGAAGGCCTGATCCAGTTCTGCAACCAGTTGTGGACATGCAGTATCAGTCCTCTCCTCCTCATACCCATTCCCCTGACCAGAGGGATTGAGGAGGGACCCTAATTTGGTCCCCATACCCCTGGGTAGGGAGTATTTTGTAGGGCAAATTTTGTCATCCAGTACCTTTGGATCACTGATCAAGACTGCACTCTAATGTTTGGGGTGCGTGCCCACTGTGCCAGTCCTGCCAGCCCATTTGGGCTAAGCACTTACAATCAAATGAGGTAAGCAGAGTAATGAGGACATATTTAATAAACTTAAAATGCTTAGTATACTAAGGCCATAAAGCATAGAATCCTAGAATATGCTCTATGAACACAAGAGCATGCATTCCTGTCGTTGACTGGTACATCACGTGCTCTTCCTGAGCTTATATGGTTTACCTTTAATGATTATTTCTACTCAAGGTGTTTTTAACCTGACTAACTCTTATAGCTGTCATAATTACACGAACCCAAGTCAGACCAAAAATTTTGTAACGAACACATCTGTTAGAAAAATGCACTCCAGGAGTTAAATTGCTATTTTGTTATATTTATTTTCAAGTACCTTTACGCAGTTGTTGGTTTGGGGTTGCAGTTGTGGAGCGATTGGCGCCTCACATACAATGCAGGTGGGTGTGTTCATCGGCACAAGATGTCCGCATTCAAGACACGGTGCCATCTGAAGAATAAAACCATATCACAGCATGTTAATGGCCCTAATGAGATCATTAAGATTATAACGAGACTTTCAGTATTTTCCCCCGTTAGAGTCTGCAACAGATGCTGATATTGATCCCTAAAGATCAAAGGCTATTGAGAAAATATGAAGACAAATGGACAGAGAATGCTTTACCGACTACTAAAAATATGCCAGAAAGGTACTAAGTTAATTTTCAGTAAATTTAAAATGCTACTATAAAATATGTGCAGGTAGTTCAAATCCTCCTAATTATGAACTTAATCTAAAGAGGTGCTGAATATTCTCAGTCATCACTTGAAATTACAGCATTGCCCCAGAGAAGCCAACTTTCTGATGGTACAGGGGGAAAAAAAAATACACCATTGACTCGTTAGACCAAGTTATCATCTCTCAGGAAGAGCTCAGAGAAGATAGTTACAGGCATCACTATAAAAACTTGGTGCTCTTACATATGCCTACACATGCCACCATGGAAGGTTTCAGGCATATTAGATGGATCTTCTACAGCTGTGACACAGGTGCCAGTTACTAGCTGACTAACTGGACAAGTTAGGTTAGTGCTGCAATATGTAGGTCCTGAAGATGTGGTCCTTGCTGTCAGATAAGAAGGAATCTGAATTTGGTGATGTTCCCTGGCACAAGTGATTTTTTTCATTGTTATCCTTATTAAAATATATGGCATTTGAACGAATCTATGGTTCAAGCATTGGAAGAGGCTGCCCAGGGAACGGGTTGAGTCACCATCCCTGGAGGTATTTAAAAGACAAGTAGATGTAATGCTTAGTGACATGGTTTAGTGATGGTTTTTGTCAGTGTTAGGTTGATGGTTGGACTCGATGACCTGAAAGGTCCCTTCCAACCTAGGCAATTCTATGATTCTATGGTTAATTTTGCACATCATTAAAGAATTACACGGGGTCCACTGCTATTTGAACAAAATAAAACAATCAGAACAGAGCTTTCCAAATGAAAGCGTGACTGAATAACGGTGTTGCCAGTACTGAACGTGTACTTTGCTGAGGAAGCTGCTTTCTCCAAAGAGGATTTGTTAATTGCTGTGCTGTTTTGCTGACCTGCGCTCCTTCAGGGGGTGGGAAGCGACGATGTACGGGCACAGGTGGGATAGGAGATCCACATTCCTGACAGAAGTGTGCCAAGGGGTCGGACAGGCGAGGTGCAGAGCAGTGAGCACATCTGAAAATAAGGGCAGACTGGCTGAGATTGTTTGGGTTTTGTACTGCTGCCTAATAATGCTTAAACTGGAACCCCTTGTGCCAGGACTTGGGCCACTGATTTCTCAGTTGTGGTTTCCAAGCTATGGTGGTCCACCAGACCATGCCCATGTGTTCATAATAAGAGGTTCTGAACTCTAAACAGCTTTGCAAAGTAGAAAGCTCTCTGGCTGCTATGGGGTTTCATACTTTCTTTCTCACCACGAGGCAAACAAGTGTTCTGACATGCAACATGTGTCAGGCCTCACTGCAGCTATGTGGAGAACCACTGGCCTTGACCATATAACCCTTTCGATATTGATAAGCCCTAACGTTCTGTGAGACTACCCCAGTGAGGAGTTTTCATCTGCAGCAGTGAGGCCTGTACTCTAATTTGAGAAGACAACTTTTTCCTCTGACCCTGCAGATGTTAGGAATTTATTTTAAGGGCTGATAAGACAGTTGATAACTGTGCACAGTGAGATGTAAATAAAACTTTACGTAAGAAAAAGAATTTTCAGAGCCCTACCTAGCTCATATTCTCCAGTTATGAGCCAGTGTCTGTCTTTGCTTTTCTTCTTTTTATAGAGCCCCACAGTATTATCAACTTGGTTGCAAAAGGCAATTCCTCAGTTACTTTCCAAGGACCAATATGTTAAAAGCAGAAGTCACTTACTTGAGGAAATCTGTTTCCCTCTGGATCCTTGCCACCTGTGTGCTTGCTAAGCTTTTCCTGCTAGTCACTGCAGAAGAGCTAGCCAACTGAAATAAAGGTAATTCTTTAGTCTCAGTAAGTAAATATTTGCAAAATGCATATAAGAGTAGCAAAATCAACTAAAGATGTTATTGGAGACAAACTGCATTGAAATGCATTGCTCTAAGGAAAATCTACTATGCTTGATTACCCCATTAGCTGCATTAAGGACCCACAGCTTCTTCCAATAAAAATCAATGTCTTGGCTATTTACTTCCAAGACAGTGTTACTGAATATTAAGCTTTAAATATCAACTTGCTGACCCGTAGCAATAACTATTTGCTAATTGCAGATTAGAAGAGAATTAGTAAGAATGGGAATTCTTAATGTGCTTTGCCTGGTTTTACCCTTACTGATAACTGTGTACTGCTTTGGGCATTCCTATTCCAGCGTGTCATTGCCACTAAATTTAAATTAGTACTGTATAACACAGACAAAGGCATTGCTTTCTGAGACCTTAGACATGAGAATGATCAAACATCTTCCCATCTTTATTTTTTAGAGCTCAGTTCTGATGACAGCCTTTTACAGTTTTCCTCAACAGCCCTTTGCTTACCTGTAACAACTCTGTTGGTAGTCCTGGGGTGGATTCCTCTCTGTAGTCTGTTGCTTCCAAACGGCTGGCACGGAGCTGTGGTCCTTGCAGGGACCGCTGAGCAGTCTTTCTTTCTGTTTCCAAGTCTAAAATTGCAACCATGCTATTCCACTGTCATTCACTTCATGCAGTTAACGTATATCTTAACATGAATATAACTTACCCTTGCTTTAAATCCCAATAGCTAAGTATATTTAAAAATCTATTTGACATCCAGATTTTAGTTTCAAATAAACTGCATGGCATTACAGGAAATTAAACTAAAAGAAACCTCATTCCTCTATGAAAGAGCTTACTTTTGTATTTTTCTCTATTTACACTTTTCTTCCTTCCTGCATGCTCAAAACCCCTCCAGCTCCTAAGAATAAATTAATGAGTAAACATTAATATGATTCCCTACTCTTAAACAGTCCCATTGCCGTTACCATGGAGTAACAGGCTTTATCTCTAAAGAAAATCTGAGTTAAGCTTTCATTTCTGCTTTGTGTATTTATTTTGGAATCTTACTGCAAGCAAACATCAGTAGAGAACTCCATAAAGGATTTGCAGTCCCATCAATTTAACAGAGTTTTCAGGCACAAAGGGAAATATAGGCTGGGCCTTGTTGCTGAGAAATAATAACATTTTAATATGTTTTTAAGAGGTAATGTAAAACACATGGAAGGTTATTTTTGTTCTCTATTTGCAGCGTTGAGCAATCAAAATTGGAATTCCTAGAGGATGTTCCGTCTTCTGAGATGGTTTAAAATTACCCATATTTTACCAATGATATAAGAGGCAAGCTTAATACTATTTCCAGCTAAGCCAGAAGTCTATTTCAGTTTTGTGAAGTAATACCATACCGTGAAAATCTTGGGGTGCTTCACTCCAGGCAGGCTTGATTTCCACATTCAGTCCATTCTTCTTTGGCTTTGTAATAAGCATTCCACCTTCGCTCTCCTGAAAAATAATTCTATTTGAATTCCAATTGAAATTTTTGGTTTTGCTCTAATCCTCTCTTGTCATATTGTTTGTTATGGTTTTAAAAGTACATCGTTGAGGTATTTATTTTCAATGCAAGCACTTGAACGGCCTAAATTATAAATGTCTTTTTAAAATATTTGACCTGAAGTGGTCACAACAGACCAGTGAGAAGAAGAAAAAAATAAAGTTTCCCCTTGAAATTTTAATATTACAAAAAGGACCATGGTAGCAAAAATGGGCAAACAGAGAAAATAAAATATACTAAAAGTATAGGCAGTCAAGGTTTAATCTCTAAGTAATATCATATATACAACACTTTATATTTACACAAGGGGTTACAACTGCTAAAACTTACCCGTGTGGTGATATCTTTTAGGAAATTCTTATCATCACCTTCAACAGAGAAGAGGACGTTTGGTTCCTTATACTCTACCAGGAACACCTTTGTTACAACTGTACTCTCCCTGCAGTCCCTGAAAATCAACATTCACAAAGCTATATACGTGCCACAAACCCATGTCCAGCAGCAAGTAAACCACTGATGAGCACGGCCCATTTGCTGGAACATCTCTTCCATGCTTGCAGGGCATTATTTCAGTTGGTTAAGTATAATCCTGGGGAATACTCTGTTTTGGTTTGTTTTACTATGTTTTAAAAGCGCACAATCAGAAGTTGTCAATAAAATATACGGATACCTTAATCCCCCAACATCTTTTAAATGTAAAACTCTTGTGTCTGCTTTCTAGGGCTACTAGTGTTTGCCAGCATTGCAGAAAATAGAGGAGAGCAAGACAGGACTTTTATTCCATTCATAATACCATATCAATTTTCCTAGTCAAACAGCAGGTAGCACACTATTTATTTGACAAAACAACTGTAACTCTCTACTATTTCTTAAATTACAGCAGTAACATTCAAATTGCTGTACGTGTCCAAACCATTCAGTTAGGATTTATTGTCATGCTAGAGCATCTATTTAGCACACCTGAAAATGTCTTAATAAAAGCATACTGGAAACGAGTGTCAATCTAGGTAGTGATATCAGAAAATCATATAGGCCCAGGTTTTTTGCATGTCCCCACACAGGCAATACAATGTTGATTTATTCCAGTGCAGACACAAACAAAGGCCACCTGCAGGTGCTAATAGGAGGGAAGAGCAAGTGCAAATCCCCAACCAGAGTGGAAGTTTCTGCTGCCTTGGAAATAAAAGGTAATGCAAGAGGGTACAGACAGCGAGTTCGTGTGTTCTGTCTCTAAGTGTGAAGTTAGTTTGGAGAAAGTGGCTGTGCAGCAAAATCCAGTTTTCTTTCTACGTATTGTATTTTCACTTAAGAACTGTGAGGTTTAGCATTCCGTGCTCCCTTGGGAGAAACTAAGCAAATTCCTGGGAAGACCGACTTCTATAAAGCTGGGTGACCCCAGAAAACACCATGCTACTTCCTCTGGCATTTGATGATCACACTCAAAGGGGTGAGCTCTAAGTATAGTATATTTTATTAGTTTTTCACCCACAACCTCTGTGGCTCGTTGGCCTACATCCACAGCCCAGGAGATAAACATCCGAGAGAGAATGGAACGGCACAAACACTTAATGGATAAAATGTGTTATGAGAAAGTGAAGTCAATGCAACCCATGAAGATCGCTTAGTTTGCAAACTGGCTGGGGAAAGAGGCATGTCTTGTTTGTGAGGTATGGAGTGTTTTAAACAACACGGCTCCAAGCCTTGACTGGGATATCTGTCCCTTGTCAAAATACGACTAAAATAAAACAGGATACTTACTTTGTAACTGCCAGTGCCTTCACTGTTATTTTCCCAACGGGTAATAGGATAGGACCCTTATACTTAAAACTGTTATGCTCTCCATAGCCAGGTTTCCTGATGAGTTCTGGTTTGCTTCCATCTAAAGTATAATAAATGGAGACCTCAGGTGTATCTGAAGGGCACAGAGAAAGTAGTTAGCCGAACTTGTGAAAAACAAGCTCTGTGTTTCAAAATATTCACTACTGTGCTTTATTTTTCTCACATAAATAAAATAAAGCAGTTCCATAAATGACTGAGTGTTTGGGACCAAAACTGTTTCTCCCATGAAAAATATTTCTCTTCATAAAGGAGCTGTACAATGGTTTTGTATTAAAATATTGCAACACCTTGTCTTGTTGCAATGACAGAAAAGACATTTTCTGCCATTAGAAAGGTGGCATTTCAAAAATTGTAAGTAAAATCTTCGGGGTAAGCCTGGCACATAATACTTTTAAGCACTGGTTTTGCAGTGAAAGTGAAATGCAAAAGCCTAAGAGCTTGATCTTGGAAGCGATTAAGACTGCTAGAATATATAAAATAACTCACGTCAATAATATTGCTTGAATGCAGAAAATTAAATGCAAGTATATTTGGTGTATCAAAACATGTTGGTTAATTTTATACATTCCTTAAGGAAGCAGGCACTCATAAAAATCATAATTAAATGCAAACAAAAATATAGAAGTTGGAAGTTTCAAATGAACACATAAGAAAAGGTTTTACACAGAGTCAAAGCCCTTATTCATACCTGATTTTATCTCTATGAGAGTATTTGTGTCTATTTCATGTTTAGCCTTCCCTGGAAGAGGGATTCGCAGTGGGATGACCTGAGGAACTGAGACAGAGCCAGCTGTCATTTTTCTCAGCAGTGATCTTTAAAAAAGAAAAACAAAAAGGCCATCAATAATTTTTCTGAACAGAAGAATGCATTGAGAAATACAGTCTTTCATTGCAATTCTTTGTCTTCATTCGTTTCTCTTAAAAAGGGAGACCACTGGATTCTTTAAACTGTTAGTTCTCACTGATGTTTGCATGATTTTCACAGTGAAAAGGATCGAGATCCTAAAGACCATCGCAGTCCCGGCTTACTCTCCTGTTTCCCCAACTGTGAACAGAGCTTGAGATGAGCACTGTTGCTTTCATTTCACTTTGGCCCTCCTTGCTTAAGTCCAATTTCCATGTATTCAAGTGAAACCGCTTTAGCATCACACATCAGTGATACATGGTAAGAGCAGGTGACAGTGAAGTATCTCATGGCAGATGCGGTGTCATTTTCCCTGCAGGAAGAACCAGCCCCTTTTTCATCGTGGCCATCTGAATATATACAAGGTGTTCCAAAAAGGACTAAAGCAAGACAGCGATTCCTAAAGCTTATCTCAGCTATCGCATGCATTACGAATATACCTATAAAACAGGTGCCAAACATGATTTATCATCATTTACATAGCCATTATCACGTCACACAATTCAAGAGTGAAAAATTGCATTTGGATACGATAACACTTTACAATACAAAAATATGTACTTCAGATCCTGGGAATTGATACTCAGGGCCACGAAACATGTCTACACTAGAAGGACTTGGTTTTGTAACCAACCCTTCAATCCTCCAGAAACGTCTCTTAGGCTACTCATCAACACAGATAGTAATGATACAGCGCGGGAGGCGTTTGTTAGTTCATGCTCTCACTGGGGCTACGATGAGCTATGCCACAGCCCATCTCCTCAGTTGGGATGCCCAAAACAAGAGTTACAAAGTGTGGGTAGTTCTCAGCCAAACTGTCCTGGGCTGCAGGCAGTGGCACGGGAGGAGCAACGACCGGTGGATCAGATCTTTACCTGACACCAGGCAGCAAAGAGTATTTTTCCTCAAGGACTTGCCTGCTCTTGGCACACCTGGACCAAAAACATAATGCCCTCTTTCAGCTTTCTGGGATGCCATCAGCGGTGGAACACAACTGCCTGGCCCCTGCCCCAGCACGGGCTCTACCCCTGCCCACACAGGCCCTGCTTCCCCTCACCTCACAGCACAGCCCACCCCACCTCACTCCACTCCATCCCTGCTGGACAAACCCAGTCACCCCGCTTGGTTCCACCGCAGGATCCTGACCACCCCGCTCCGTCCTGTCCCACAGCCCTGCCCACCCTATCTGATCCCTGCCACCAAGCCACTGCCCACCCTGCTTGATCCCAGCTACATCCCTGCTCATCCCACTTGATCCCAGCTGCGGCCTTGCCCTCCCCACTCCATCCCTGCCCACCCTGCTTGATCCCAGCTGCATCCCTGCCCACCCTGCTCGATCCCAGCTGAAGCCTTGCCCACCCAACTCGATCCCTGCACACCCTGCTTGATCCCAGCTGCAGCCTTGCCCTCCCCACTCCATCCCTGCCCACCCTGTTTGATCCCAGCTGCATCCCTGCCCACCCTACTCAATCCCAGCTGCATCCCTGCTCATCCCACTTGATCCCAGCTGCGGCCTTGCCCTCCCCACTCCATCCCTGCCCACCCTGCTTGATCCCAGCTGCATCCCTGCCCACCCAACTCGATCCCTGCCCACCCTGCTTGATCCCAGCTGCGGCCTTGCTCACCCCACTTGATCCCAGCTGCATCCCTGCTCACCCCACTTGATCCCAGCTGCGG